TTAAAAATACAATGATTGTCTGAAATAGACATTTTCCACAAAAACTAGAACACCAAACCTCTTTGAGTTTGTTCATATTTACCTTTTCACATTCTGCACATCGAGACGTTGTTCTTCCACCTACTACTGGCTGACCCGATGTTCGCATACTGCCAAACTTCCTACAAAATATTTAGGTCTCTATCAAATGATAGACAATCGCTGACAATCACTAATGAAAAGTTAGTAAATAAAGGTAAAGAATGAAATAATAATATAACACAGAGACAGCAGCTGGACATAAACTCCTGTGCCCCCAATCTTAAGTCCTACTAGCCACGGACTGGTAAAAATACCCCTCAAATGAAGCTTGATAAACTAACCTCCGAAGTGTTGTAGCCTTGAGAAAAGTGGAACTGAAATGAATAAGAACTACTATAAATGAATGTAAAACAACTCAATAAGGAAGAAATAAACTTAGCAAAATATTAAGGCTGCTTGCAAATGATGAATGAAGTAGCTCTTGTAGAGAATCCCTGCCTGCAGAATTTGTATAATTGAAAATCCTAAACGGTATTGTCTACTCAGTCCATACAACCACAGCAGAGAATGGCCATGGTCAGTGACAAATCATATCAGTGACAACAGGGAAAAGTTCCAGGTATGAAAATAATTAAAGTTTTACACTTGTTTGCACATTGTTCTTAATGTAATTCCCAATTTCTGCATGAAACAAGACCATCTATCAGAGATCTGACTGAGCAAACAATTTGTTTGCATATATACAGTTGTACCTGAATGGCTTTACTTTTTCGTCCATGTTTTCTTGTTGGGCCTGGCAAGTGTCAGGTTTGGGACTCTCGATCTTGATGTGACTCTGAAACGAACTTGAGATTTCAAAGCAAAAGTTACCTAAAGAGACACACAGACACACCTTGAAAAAACCTAATTGGAAGCAGTATTCAGGACTTTCAGTTGTTAACTTAGCAAAAAACATCTAGTTTCATTTATAATGTAGGTACACCATTATCTGTTTGGATTTCTTCAGAGCAGGATGAGAAAATCTCACAGGGCAAGCAGCCCTCATAGCAGTTATACAATGTGAAGCTTATATAACACTCTCTTTGAATAGGATACCAGTCCACTGCCCGCATACTTCATCCAAGCATATTAAGCATGTTTTTCTTCGTCTCTCTCACCTGCAGTTCCCATTCTCAAACCAGCAAATAGATGTTATGAATTCTTTGATAACTGTTACCTCTTGCTTTCATCAGCTTCTTCATCATCATCTGGCATCAAAGGTGCTGATATTATGAGTGGTGGCTGTTGTGATAAGACTACTGATGATCTCTTTGCACTGATGGAAAGGAAATATTTTAAATAGATAAATATACATGTAATAAATAAATGATATAACAAGGGGTAAACAATGTCAGACAGTGCAATTTCTAGTATTAAGTTTACATTAAAAATTATTTTCAACAACGTTATGGATTCCTTGACATTTTCAGAACATTCTGTTGCAAAAGTTTCAGTTAACAGAGAGATATTTTGTGGCAAAAACTAACTAAAAATGCATTGTTACATATATGTGTATACTCCTGTAAAGATGCAGTATGTACTTTATGTTTTTTATTTCAGTCACAAGGTTTGTGAAAGAAAAGTTAGACAGGATTCCAGGTGATGTGGCTTTCATGGTAGCGGCTTCTTCTCCCACAGACTCAGGTGCTGGCACCGGCTCTATGATGGGGAGGGGTGCCTCATCTGTTGACGTCAAAAAACATCATACCAACTGTCACTGATAAATTGCATGTTTAAATAAGCGTGCTCTTAACATTAAGTGTAAATAGTAAATAAAAGAGTTTTGTCATACTAATTAGATTATAATAGTACTGTGACAATCAGGAACAGTATACTGACTGACAGACTGATAGACTGGTCAGAAGTCTACTTCCAAAATGCACGTGACTTCCTTGAGGTCTGAAACCTAAGCCCATGATATGGTCACACAATACTGGTCAGTGGATTCCTTGCTAGGACCATTGTGAATTGACCCTAACACCGATGTGCAATATCAAAGATGTACTCTATAAACCTCAGTTCACCTATCAGCTGGAGCATAGCTGCCATGTTGCACGACATTGTCGTTTTTCATTGTCATAGGGCGCATGTGCCCGCGATCCATGCCGTTAGCCATGTTGACCATGAAAAAAGAGTTACATGCTTTTCTATTTCTATGCATGCATGTGGTTGTGTTCCTATAGTTATGGTGCTCCACTTGGCAGCCAGAGATCTGCTACTAACAAAAAGACAGCAAGTTGACCATCCCTATCTAGATAACCTTTATTTTCCTCCTCTGTTTCCTCCTCCTCAGCCAGCAGGCCACATGTTGATTGCTGTAAAAGCAATGAACACTGGGTATCAGTGACAATTCTAATGGACAGTCAATACACTGTGGCTTATCAGTTTTGACTCTTAACCCAGGGGTGTTGTATCTCCCCCTTAGCTGGGAAGCTAGTTTATCATAGGTTACTCCATCCACCCTCTCGGAATTTGCTAGGTTATCCCTGATTCAGTATGTGTGTGTGTGTGTGNTGTCGTTGTTCTGCTCTGTCCTCTTCCTTCCCATAATTCTCTCCGAATCTCTGAGAAGTTTTACTTCCACCCCGCAAGACACAATGGACGGACTGGGAACGAGTCAGGACGGGTGATACATTTCCGAGTTGCCCCAAGCCTCTTATCACAGCAGGCCTGGTGCACCACCATTCATATGACAATGAGTTTAATTTGCATGTGAATGAAATCTCATTTTCATATGAAAGGATGAGCACCAAGGCTCTCTTAAAGAAAGAAGCTAAAGGAGATTCAGAACTGGCCCTTTTAAATACACCAGAGTGAAGAAAGGCCTTGGGAGAGTGAAATTTTGTACTTAATGAAACAACTTACGTAACCTTAGAAAATGCTACCAGTTTTAACTCTCAAACAACATCTTAGGACCTCAAGTCTGAAGGACTATACACCTCTCACACAATGCTCAGGGCTGCCATTAAGGGTTGTCACCCATAGCAACTGTTATCACTGAGCATGCCTGATGGACTCTTGATGTTTCAGGTGAAATAGCTTATTGTTGATATAATTCACACACAATTTATTAACGTCACAAGTTTGTTACATACGTAGGGGTGTGAAAATCATGGCAACAGGCGACTCAAAACTTAATGACAGCCCTGATGCTGAGAAGATCACTTTATTTTCAAACAAGAAACAGTCAAGCAGCTACTAACACCTCCTATCAAATTTATCAACATTTACTTAATAAATTAAGTTCTTCCTCACCCCAAGAGCTGATATGTCTCCTTTGTTTTGAACAACAATGTTTGCTCGTTTTTTACTGTGTTCCCGCCTTCTTCCCTAAATATTTACACGTAGATTAATTTACAGAAAACTGTGTTAATGCTGAATAAAATTAACTGTAATACTCTTCTCCAACTAAATATGTATGCATTATTATTATTTGCATTATATTATTAACTTGATTTTCAACCTGATTCTACACTTTAGTATATTAATTTCTAAAAGTAATCAATAATGACTAATTATTATGAAACATTAAATAAGAATGATAAGCAAGTGTTTCCACAGCTTTTTTTTTAGTTCTCCCAAACTTCCTCAAGTGTCTCTATAATTCAATAGAAACACCAAAAACATGTTTTCTATTTCTTTTAGAAAATTATGCAAAAACAAAAGAAAACTACTTGTTTACTTTGATCATCAAAATATAAATTATGTTTGCCAGTGCCATCATATGTCAACAGCTCGTGCTAGTTCTGTGTTCTTATTGAGTTATAGAAATGCAGTTTTAAACCAATCAGTGTACATATTTTCTTTTGGGATATTTTCTAATGAAACAATAATAAAACACCAACTAGCTTCACCACTTGTGTAATGTCAACAAAACATTTCAAAATGATATGAATGTTTCACCTGAAGCTCTTGAAGCCAAAACATCATAGTTTGCTTATCTTTTGCTTGAAGCTGATAGATTCTTCCGGATGTACTAAACAAAATAATATTAAACAGTTTACTGCACTTCTACACATCCAAAGGAGCTGCCAAAGTCCCAAAATTTCTGGAAATCCAGTCTCATATAGACCTCCCAGTCTCATGCAGCCAACCCAGCCATATACAGGCACCCCAATCTCATTCAGCCAACCCAGACATATACAGGCAGCCCAATCTCATTCAGCCAACCCAGACATATACAGGCAACCCAATCTCATTCAGCCAACCCAGCCATATACAGGCAACCCAATCTCATTCAGTCAACCAAGCCATATACAGGCACCCCTATCTCACTCAGGTAACCCAGCTATATACAGGCACCCCAATCTCATGCAGCCAACCCAGCCATATACAGGCAAGCCAATCTCATTCAGCCAAACCAGCCATATACAGGCAACCCAACTACATATAGGCAACCTAATATACCACATTTACGCAACGCGAGTTACCTTTTGCCTCTTTTTCAAACAAATCTTTGTGCAAAACCTTTCATATGAAAATGAGTTTGATTTGTATGAAAATGAAGCTGTAGGCCAAATGCATTTTCATATGATTGGTTTCACATGTAGACTTGTTTTGATACCAAGGCTAAAGGCAACTCAGAAATGGCCTATCTCATACAGACAGTTCAGCCCTATACAGGCAACCCAGCCATATACAGGCAACCCAGCCATATACAGGCAACCCAGCAATATACAAGCAACCCAGCCATATACAGGCAACCCAGCCATACACAGGCAACCCAGCCATATACAAGCAACCCAGCTATATACAAGCAACCCAGCCATATACAGGCAACCCAGCCATATACAGGCAACCCAGCCATATACAGGCAACCCAGCCATATACAGGCAACCCAGCCATATACAGGCAACCCAGCTATATACAAGCAACCCAGTCATATACAGGCAACCCAGCCATATACAGGCAACCCTATCTCATGAAGGAAACCCAGCCTCCCACAATGCAACTATATGCAGGCAGTTGGGCTTCATTTTAGCAAACTATGGATAAATTTGTCTTACCAAATCTTAAACCCATTCAGTCTATCCGCATCTTCTACATCAAAGGTGAAGGACGCATTTGCCAAATCGATATGGCTGAAAGTACACAAAACAGTTATATGCATTAAAATATATATAGCACAATTTGACTGTATAATAATTTTATTTCAGTTTTTACTTGAGAATCTGATGACTATGTGACTGGAGGCCAGCTCGAGCCAAAAAAAAGTAAAGCAAAGATCTTTATGGTAAATTGTACATAACCACTTCAATTGTTAACAATACAATCACTCTCAATGGTACAATTAAAATATGTCCCAGGTGATCAGCTGTCAAGTGAGGGAAAAGTTAAGTACTAGCTAATGGTGAATTCTGGTTATTTCAATGCCATTCTGGTATTGCTTACAGTTCTTTCAAATTTATTTGTAACATCATAATCACAATAAAAACCTTACCCAAGAGGTGTGACATCCTGTGGAGTTCTGTAATAATACAGCTTGCACTTTCTTTCCTCATATACAAACCATCTTGTTTTCCATGTTTTTAATCCCTTTGCTAAATTTGTGATAAACATAAATCATACATGTGCTATTGAAGAAGTGCTAGGTCTGTATTGAGAACATATATTGGTCTGACTACAGTGTAGTTCTTTGTCTGCTAGCCTGTGGACAGGCTCTGGATGGAAGGGTCTGACCACAGCTCGAAGGGCCGAGAAGGAACTGGTCATAAGTAACGCGGTCCAAGGGGGATTGGGTGGGTGGTGGTCGTTGACTAGAGAGCCTTTTCTATGATCCTTGACAAGACAGCCTGTTCACAAATGGAGCAAGCCATAGCTTGTTTTCCTAGCTAGGCGGACTCAGTCATTCACATGTTACCTCAAGTGCAATTAACTGAGCAACTATAACATTAGTGGGTATTTATTATGACTGAGAAAATTACTTCATTTTGATCGGCTTACTCCACTAGGCCTTCAAGTTAAACTCTGGCAACATGATGTAACCTTACCTAATAAATGAGTGCCAATATGTTTCTTATCCAATGTACATACTTTACTGGCTAATTAAAAGGTACACTTATGGATAAATTTACTTACCTCCAAGCTTGTTCAGAAACCCACACAGCTTTGGAGTACCACTGGTGATTTTCTGACACGTTCAAAAGACACAACATATAAATTTACTACATATGTGTGAAAAAGGTCACCATGTCAAACATGCGTACTTCAATATTTATAAAACAAACGTTTTCAGCTACCACTCTGAGCAGGCAAACCTCAGAAAGTGAAATACACTGTACTTTATTGAAAGGTTCTACACATGTCCCTGGGATCGCTTCGCAGTAAAGAAAGCGAAATAATGAGCTTTCGATTGCTCACTTTTAATTTAACTTCCTTGTTGGTACTTGCTTTATATAACAGCTGTTTACTACACCCGATCTGCGGTTCAGTGCAGGTGAACAACAACTAAACCTCATTTGGACCTCTATAAGGGGCGCTACCTAATAATTTACCACGTAATTAATAATTATCAAAGCTAGACCAAGATTGATTAAGCTTCCCAAACGTTTATCCCTTGTACAATAGATCAATTATGCAGGAAACAAGGCTAGACATGGGTTTTAACAAATCACAACATACATTGTATCGATCGATGGAGCTCTCATCAAAGAATTTGCCGCGAATTTTAAATACCTTGGATTTGTTATTTCCGTCATTCTTTTCAAGAGAGGTCTCAGAGTCATCTTGAGGAGTTTCTTTACCAGCTGTGGAGTGCTGAATTTCCGCTGGGACAGAAACAAGCTCCCAAGAATCCTCCATGTTTTGGACACTGGAATATGGTGAACTGGGACTAGCAAAGAATTCGTTTGTTTGTCGGAGGAGGTCGGAACGTTTCGGTTTTCGTAAAGTATGTTGAGTCCAACACCAGAAAAAAAAAGCTACAGGTTTAAGCCAGTACCCTTTTAGGTTGAGTAGACCTAGAGGAAAACTTAGCTGAAAGGAACAAAGAAAGAGGGAAAATGCCTTCTATACATGAGAAATCCGATTACCCGAGGATATCTGAACTTTTCCGACATCTCAGTATCTACTCGGGCCCAGTTTACGGTCTTCCTCTCCCCACTCGGCTACACTGAGTTCTGCTGCATGGTCGATGCATGTAAGCCTTTTATATTTAACGTTCATGGAAAGACGGGACTCCTAACAGCACTGAAACAATAACACCAAGAAAGAAAAAAGAGCAGAAAAAGAAGAAAAACAGGTATTTTTGCTTTATAGTTGGTGTTTCTTGGCGTCTTAGGGAAACCACGTGACGGTACAAAATGGCGGCCACCGGCACATGAAGTTGTTGCGTCACATTTTGACCAGTGCTTGCTGTTGGTTTAAGTTTCTGACTTAAAATTAACGACAAGCCGTAAAAAAGTGATCCGTAAATGATGGAGATTTGTTAGTATCATTCAAGAGAATATCGTGATCAGGCAATTAGTGTGCTGTATGTAAACTGAACTTGCACGTGGAAAATCATGTGTAAGCTTACCTGAAATCTGCGTGGAAATCAACTAAATCGATGAGGCCCATAGATTAAAAATCTTTGTCAGCAACATTTTTAGTTGATAAATGCTTTCTATCGAATCCAGAACTGAGAAACCAAGTGGCATAGCACCAAACAACAGTTACTTGAAGAACTAATTTTTATATTGGGGACACTCAAACCGTGAACACTTGACATTTAATATTTTTGCACATTTTTTCAGCGACTATGGAATGAAAGTTTTTCATATCATCAATAGTGTTTACTCAGTTTTTTATACACTATGAAAACACTGGTATTGTATATTGCAGGAAGAGCCTTAATTCTGTAGTCACCAAAAAAATGCCCCAAAAGTGGAGTCTGCACAAGTGTCAAGTGTTTAAAGTTCAAGTGTCCTCACTAGAACTGTATTAAAAAAATTCTGGTATTTTTTTAATGCTATCTAAAAACATGCTTATGTTTAGTAAGACATGATTTTAAGTCATGTTGATATGCTTGTAGCTTATTCTTGAGAATACAGTTGAACCCCTATTAAATGGCCACCCTCAGGGAAATGGACTGTGGCCGCTTAAAAGGGGTTGGCCGCTTAATATAGGTAGAAACAATAGAAAAGCCATCACTGGGACCCATAACACCTGCTACAGCTGAGTATGTTTGATGGGCCCTGGATGTTATAGGCTAACTATAGTTGATATAATTCATCTTAAGTGTACACGTAAGAAGTTTGTTATGTGAAGTATATATGAAATAATTCATATTTGAACTGTGGTTGTAGATGAAAATGAAGAATGATCATCGCAGTAAATTTCTAATTTAAGCAATTGGAAACAAGAAGCCTGAAAAAAATCAGGGCTTCAATGGGACTTGAACCTGTGACCTCCACAATGCCGGTGCGATGCTCTACCAACTGAGCTATGAAGCCACACATTGGGAGTGAGGTCAATTAATTGAGTTCATATATTCCCGGGAGGAGTGAAATGATGTGAAGTATATATGAAATAATTCATATTTGAACTGCGGTTGTAGATGAAAGTGAAGAATGATCATTGTATAAAGTGAAGATCATTCTTCACTTTTAAGTTTGTTATGGGTGTGTAGATCAAGACTACAGTTGACTTAAACCTTAATGACAGCCCTGCTCTGTACATTGTGTATTTCAGTGCAGGTTAATCAGTGGTAGAAAAATGAATTGATTTAATTTTAAATTGGTTGTTTGCTTCTTTTTCAAGATAAATATAAAAATAACTGGAAATTGTAAAAAGTGGTTCTTCCATCAAAGCTAAGGATGTCAAGTTCAGTAAGAAGAGGCGGCATAATGCTGTTGAGGGGGATGAAAAGTCTGCCGCAAAGGAGCAGCGCAACACAACTAAGAACCATATATTCCTTAACAAAAAGGTACTGACAAGACAAATTTTGGTGTAAACATTGCAAATTTTTGCTAGTGAACTTTCAGTTAAAGTTTGCCCATATTTCTCAGATCTATTGTGCAAGGCTAGAAACAGTGCTGCTTTTAAACGTTTGCAAGGTTTATTTTGACTAAACAGGAACTTTCACTTGCACTAAATAAAAGTTAACTAGTACACTTGGCACATTTTTATTAAGAACATTCAGTCCAGTCTTCGTCTAAATTGTCAAGATGAGGATCAAATCAATATTTTTTCTTGTAATATATTTGAAGGTACATTAAAAATATATGTGAACATGTAAGCACTAAAATACAGAATAATGGGAACACCCATAAAATAGCTAATCCCAACCCTGAATCTATTCCCCATTAATCTACAGAATGCTGTAATTCCTTATAATTATTAATAGTTACTATTACTTCCAAGGATATCCCAAACTATTCTATATCATTTTGTTCCAGATTTGAGGACACAAATTCTCAAATGTTGTGGCCTTAACATGTAGAAGACATAGTATTTTGTTATTACTTAGTGATAAGAGAAATAAATGTATTATTTACTTTACAGACCTACAGGCCTTTGCAATTACCAGCTTCCTAGAGCATTATCTGTCTTGAGCCCTGAAATCAAGGTAAATAAATGTAGAAGAGCAGGAACTTGGCTTAATATTTTGATAGTTTTTAAGCTTTAAAAAGCTGCTTCATTAGGATGGTTGCGATAATTTTATATTGATTTTCTCACAATTTAGTACTTCTCTCTTTACCTCTGTTGAAATCACAATCTAGGTATTACAAAGACTGTAGACCATGCTTGACTGTGTAGCCCATGTACATGTAAGTGACAAGCTTAAACAAGACTTTTATTGTGTGTCCAGCAGGAAGCAGAGCAAGAAGTGAAAGATCAATCTGAGTCAGGAGAATTTTCTAAATTTAGACTCTCACAGGAGACGACAGAGCGGCTGAAAGGTTAGATTAATTTAATTTATTCTGTGGCTCAAAATTCTTCATTTGACTAATAAAATGTACTATTGATAACAAGTTCATCTTGAATCCTTATGTGTACACTGTAAATTATAATTAAATATTTAATTAGTTAACATCTAGTCTTGATGTATAATTTTTTTTCTTCTTAGGAAAGAAAATCAATTACCTTTTCCCTATCCAGAGTGAAACATTTGATTATATATACAACGGTGAAGATCTTATTGCACAAGCGAGTAAGTTTGTTATAGAAATATATTCACATGTCTCAGTCATGCTTATTGCAGATTCTCCTGTTCTTCCTCTCTGGCTACCTGTTCACAAATCACACATTTTCATTAATTGTGTTTACTCCTCGCCTATACTATAAAGAAAGCTAAATAGCGTCCTAGGAATATACCTCTTGCATTACTCAATTTGTATTCTAACCTGTTTCTATGATGTGGGTAGTCTTGTTCCATTGGCTTTTACAACTTTTCACTAGTTTATAAGCAAAAATGTTTTCTGGATGATCAAACCAGGTGGGCAAAATGTCTTACAGCTGGACAATTTGCCCAGTGCCCAGCCACTGATAGGACCCCGTTATACAGTACATGTCCCCCAACTTGCAGTCCCCTAACCCTGGCCTATGGGTGTATAAATATTACTAATAAAAATGATTTGTCTTTTTATAGGAACGGGCACAGGGAAAACGGTAAGTGGACCTCATTTTGTGAAACTGCATCATGCAGTTAACATGGGTATGAATGGACAGCATTAAACCTTAGTTAGCGTACCTGTAATTGACTGCAATTCGTTATTGTAAATAACAACAAAAATAGTAAATTTATACAAATCTACACAGAGGAAGTGTCCATCATGTGAATAGTTGGAAGTTCTTACAATTCCCCTCCCCCACCCCATAAAGTTCAAACCCCTTTGATAACACAATCTTAGCTGCATTGTAAGTTTAGAACATTTGCCACTTAGGTTTTGTTTCATTTGCCATGTTTTTACACATATATGTTGTTTTTTTCAGCTGTCATTTGTACTGCCATTAATTGAAAAGCTTAAGTTACAGAAGCTATCTCATAAGAGAGGAAGAGCACCCATGGTAGGTATCAAAGTTTTGTCAAGTTATTAATTATCTCCAGCTTTAGATTGATTTTTTGATTCAGGCAGAAGATATAAAAATGAAAGTCATCAACTTGAGAATGTTTTTTTGACATCTTATTGTGTGTTGTATTGTGCAGGTTTTGGTCTTGACTCCAACACGAGAACTTGCTAAGCAGGTAAGAGTTCTTAAACTTGCTAAAATCCAAAGGCAGTTTCAAGTCAACCAGTCAATGTGCTTTGCACTGAATGTTTTAAGCAAATGATGTACATGTACCTCATGAGCTGTGGATTCTGTGCTTTACATTAACTTCACAGGTTAGTGATGAGTTTGATTATTTGAAGTCCGATCTTGCCATGCACTGTCTGTATGGAGGAGTGTCTTATGGACCACAAGGTATGCATGTACATTAATTATTATAGAACAGCCATCCTTTTCTGATCTACATTTTACTTCACAATTTGTTTGAAAAGTGACATCCTGATTTCTCTGGTTCCTGTTCATGCTAGCCAGATCATTTACAATGTAATTATAATCGTGTAAGTTGTGGACAATATTCTCAACTCAGGCCTGCACAGGTAGAGAATAATCATGAAATCTGTAAAGGCCATAAAGCTTGAGACTGGCACCAAATAGATAGGGACGTGGCTTCAAGCCAAGGAAAAATTATGGAGAAGTCTATGAATAAATTTTTAAACAGAACACTGTCAGATTGTTGATTCTTGTTTGTTGTCACCCTCTCAGCTGGGGCAATCAGAAATGGACTAGACATTGTTGTGGGAACACCTGGAAGAATCATTGATCACATGGTTAATGGTACACTGGATCTTACACAGTTGAAGTAAGTGCTGTAGAATTTCTCTGTTCATACAAAACTGCAGCTTCAATTGACTTTACGGTGTATGTAAAAAGTTAATTTTTTTTTTAATGAACATTTTATAATGTATGTGTGATGATGTAGTACAACACCGATTGTATCTAATTAGTAGAAACGTTTCATCCATTGCAGACATGTGGTTATTGATGAAGTTGATAGGATGTTGGACATGGGATTCGCCCAGTCTGTTGAGGACATCCTTGAAGAATCATACAACCCTTGTGAGTAAACAAACTTCTCTGTCTTACACATTACCATAATAGGGATTAAAAAGTTGCAAACTAGAGTTATCTGGGCTGTCATGTCATGAAGACCCTGAATGCTGAATATGATTAATTTGGAACAAAGATCAGAGTAACTGATGAACAAATCATTTTTTTGGGGTTATTTTTTCTTAAGATGTAAAGCAAATGTTGGCTAAAATCAGTTTTGTGTGGTGTTGAATTATTTTTAATGTTTATAATTATTTGTTTTTTCAGCTAGGGAAGAGAAGCCTCAGACACTACTGTTTAGTGCAACATTACCACCTTGGGTTGTCAAGACTGCTGAGAAATACATGAACCATGACAGGAAAATAGTGGACCTTATTGGAGAGCAGGAACTGAAAGCATCTGAAAGTGTGCAAGTAAGGCAAATCAGCAACTAGCTAATAGATGATAAATTGATAGAGAAATGCTTTCCAAATTGAAGCTTTCATTTCTGTACTCTGAGACATGCCGACCACTTACCGCACCATATGTTTTTCTTTGTTTGTTTGTTTTTGATAACTGTGTTAACTACCACCTGTTAACATCATCTGCTGATATTCATATATTTGTTTGTTTACTTTCAGCACCTGGCCATCAGATGTCCATATGAAGCTAGAGCCTCCACACTGCGTGATGTTGTACAGGTGGGGAAGTATATCGATATTGTATTTACTTGTAAGCAGTTGGTAAAGTCTCTGTTCACGAGTCTATAACTCTGTTATCTCATGCATGAAGTAGCCAGGTGCATTGCTTCTCCAAATGAATGACATGCTGGTCTATTTCACACTGTCCCATGCAATTTTGGTCTGAAAGTAATTTAAAAGTGGTTACCATGTAAGGCTCAATCAATTCGCACTTGCTTCTGTTGTGTCTGTTGTCCTTTCCTTTCTTGCCAGTTTAGTAGCTCCTCTTCTCCCCTTACCACCATCCCCGTGTGCAACTCTCTTGCCTTCCCCCATAGTTGCCAGTTTCTGTCAGGTGGCTTAGCTTTCTTTGATGAGATGATATTGATGATGATGATGACGATGATGCTGATGTTGTTGATGACGACGACAATGATGATGATCAACCACTAGATCAATTTTGATTCTTTGTATTTTTTTTTTTTTTGTCTTACCCAATTTCTTGTTTCTAGGTTTATTGTGGTGCCCACAGCAGAACTCTTATATTTACTGACACAAAAAGAGAAGCAAGCAGTTTGGCCTTGAATTCTGTCTTAAAGCAAGTAAGTCACAGGCTGTTAGGCCTTACTGATCCAGTATCAATTCAGTGAGAGTAATTTTAGCCAAGTTTCTGAACTTGGTGACTACACACTCACTAAGTGAGAGTTACATGTAGTTGTTCTTGATGTTTGTAGCTCTAAGTACAGACTCTGGCTTCATCTACCTGGACACCATAAGATATCAATCTTCACCGGTTACTCATAACTTATACAAGCTACCTAATTACTGAACAATCTGTTCAATAAAAAGATGTCTGTTTTCTATTTTGTTCAGGATGCACAGGTTCTTCATGGAGACATTGCCCAGGAGCAGAGAGAGATAACTCTTAAAGTATGCCTTTGTTACTTAATTATTTTCCCCTGATTTGCTAATTATGACAACCTACCCTCACCTCCAGTAGTTAATGTTGTACAGCTATGTTATATGAACAGTGCAAAATGTATTAATACGTGATTATTTTCATTAGGTTTGCCCTGCTTCTAAAAACTTATTCAAACAAGTCCCAATTCAGAGTTGACATATTTGCAATGTACCTATAATTTTACTGAATTTATGCTGTATTTTGGTTGATTAATGGAACCCCCTATATTCATTCATTCAATCTAATACATTCTAATTCATTCTGTGGCATTGGCAGAGTTTTCGTGATGGAAAAGTTCGTTGTCTGGTAGCCACAGATGTCGCAGCAAGAGGTTTGGATATCCCAGAAGTTGATCTGGTTGTGCTGACTGAACCTCCTAAGGTAGGCTTAAAAAAAATACTGCATGTCTCTTCTATTTTATTGAGTCATGAGAAGGATAGCTAGATGGACATTCAAAGTGTAATTCATCAACTTCTGCTACTCAGAAGAGTACAAAGCCAATTGAGGTATAGTCCTGTACTTCTAAATAATAAAATTTTGAACTACACATGATAAAGATTAGTATCAGGAAAATACATGTACCAGTAACCGTGCTTATGATTTAGGATCTTGATATGTACATTCATCGGTCTGGAAGAACAGGGAGAGCGGGCCGTGATGGAATGAGCATTGTATTTTACAAGTCAGGAGAGGAACAATTATTACGTGCAGTGGAAAGAAGAACTGTGAGTACTGGCAACAACACTCTTTTTGAAACATTTCAATATGTTTTAATTTGTAATCCAAGAAGATATCTTTATCCACGTAGTGTACAGACTTACAATCATGGGTATAATATATTTTTAATTATTTTATAGCAAGGTGTTCTTGAGGTAAATCCAAGCCTTTTGATTGTTTTTTACTATGACAGGATTTTACCATACAGACTGCTTCCATGGAAACGGTCATAAGCCATGTACATGTAGTTATTGTTTTCGAAATCAAGCAAGTGCCATATATAATGCACTAGTATTTTTATTTTAATAGTAATTTTTTTAAAAAAATAATAAACTAGTAACTAATTTTTTTTTTTCTGCCACAGGGAATTAAATTCAAACACATTTCACCTCCATCAATAAATGAAATTGTTGAAGCTTCAGCAATGGATGCCCAGAAGTAAGAAATTTTGATGATGGTGATGATAACAGTGTTAGAGCAACTTATTAATAATAATTTGACTACTGTTGTGTTAGGTATATACAGACGGTTTCACCTGAAGTTCTTGAGAAGTTCCGTGGTGCTGCTCAAGCACTGGTGGATAAACTTGGTGCAGTGGATGCTGTGGCAGCTTCACTTGCTCACATTTCTGGAACCAAAGAGATCAAGTCACGATCTCTCTTGACTGGGCGAGATGTATGTATAAAAACATAATCATGTTCAACCTGGTTTGTGGCTAGATAGCATTTTAATCTAATGTGAAAAGATATTGTTTGGTGAAAACTAGGCCAAAATATTGCTGGAATGTGTGTTATGAAAATTTGGTAGTACTGTACAGTACAACAAGAGAATGTTGCAAATTTCTTTCAAGCGATGTTTAGTAGCAGAAATAAATTAATATATTTTATCAAAGATAACTATAAAAAGCATTGAAGTTCTGGCTTTCAAACACCCTACAGCTGATCAATGTTTTTAAGGAAATGAGAAGTACAATGGAATCTAGATTTATGTTTTGGATTATCGTAAGTTGAACTTGTGATTGTCCTTGATGTAACCAGTGTTGCTAACAGCTGGTGAATAATGTCATGTCCTTATGACACAATACCAGTCCAAATATCCTGCATACCTGCCACAATCCCACAGGAAAGGACTGGCGATTTGTATCTTAAAATACAGACTAAGAAATTGAGGTTAATGAGATTTTTATTATATCTCTTGCTTCGTAGAAAGGAAAACATTTTAAGTCATGGGTGTAGGGGTGGAACATACTGAGGAAATATCTACCAATTTCGATATAATTATTAAGATTCAGCCTAAAACAATGCTGAAGAGACCTCAGTACAAGGCTCTGGGGAATAACTACAGAGTTTGCTGTATTTATTCCCCAGAGCCTCATGCTGAGGTCTATTGTGTTAGGCTGAATTTTAATAACCGACCATTTAGGGTCGTGGGTTCAAATCCCATCTGGAACTATAGGATTGTTTTCCAAGTTGATGTTATTTCTATGTTTAAAATTCCTCATATTAGTCACTTTGGAGGGTGGTCTATTATTGGCACTAAAGTTGACCAATCCACTGCAGGCATGTGTATGTGCATATTATGGACTATAATGATATCATTTATTGTATTCAGGATCACACCACCTACCTACTGAAGGCTCCTGTGGAGATCCGTGGAACAGGTTACATGTGGCGTGCAATGGAAAAGACCCCAGAAGTGAAAGACAACGTGGCAGTTATGAGGATGTGTAAAGACAGACAGGTGAGATGTGATGTTATATATTAAATGCAAACTAATATTAGTTGAACGGTGCTTTCATTGTACAGAATTCTGTCTGATGTTGCATAGACACATAACGTGCTCTGGATTTCTTACTATTACTGTATAACTTTTTTAAGGAGTTAATGTCATTGAGCATGCATATTCATGTAGCTGATAGTAAACCACACTTATTAATTGAAATTATTTTTTGTCGAAAAGAGGATTCCTCCTTTTTCTTCCTAAATGCACTTTTGTTTATTCCGACAGTTGCTAAAATTTGGTTGATCACACATACTCCTTAAATCCCTGGTTGATGTATTTGTCATGCATGACAGACTGGCAGAAGCATATCACCTCTTCGAGGTGGTATGCTTCTGAGACTAGTTAATATGACCTTTTGCTGACATTGGTCTGTTACCTCAACAGAGTGTTGTATTTGATGTACCAAATCAACATCAAGAAAAATTAGAGGTATGGCATTTCATCTCCCTTGAAGTTAGGATGCATTGTGCATGGTTTTCCTTGAGAATAGTAGGTTTCTTTTACAATGTGATTTAATAACAGTTGGCCAGTAGGAGGGCTTCGTTCTTGATTGCGGCTCCAATTAAGTACTTACAGGAGGTTGTGGCTGGGGACAGTGTGGAAATAGTCCTAAATTTCAAAGTGAATGTGGGCCTTTTCTTTGAAATAAGGAAAGCTGTTAAGTTGCATAAGAGAGGGCCCCCTCCTCTTGACCTAGCTAAGGTCACCTCAGGGTAAGTCTCAACATAGTGCTACAGCAGGGGTTTCATTGAGGGCCAGGCACTGGGTAAAATGACCACCAGCGAGGATGATTTTGCCAGCCTGGTTTGACCATCTAGAGGAAGGTTTTTCTTAGAATAAAGTTCTGTTCAAAAAGTTTTATCTGCCTGTGAGAACCAGTTGCCCTCTTGCTAAAAATGTCAATGAAACCCCTGGCTACAGTACGAACAAATTGTAAATTGAAAAAACTGGTCCAGTGTTGAGGGGTTAAACTAGAATCTGTCCAGGTAAAAAGTTTTAGATGATGGGCAAAACTAGCTGAGCCCTAGCCCTGAGCTGGCCCTTCAGCTTAGCAAAGAGTACCAAATTGAATGGAAAAGTGTAAACAAGTTTTTGAATTATTTTCATCACAGGAATATTGGTTGGAAGGCAGAGGAGGAGTAATACTTACAAAAATAACTGAACTTCCAGAGCTGCTTGAAAGACCTCAGCGTGACCCAATGGGTGGTGACAGAAAACCAGGCTATAGAGACAGATATGATCGAGAGGGATTTGTGAACCAGAGAACTGGTCAAAGGGATCAATCTCGGAGTGGTTATGGTGGAAAGGCGTCATTTGAAAGAGGTTTCATTCCAGATCGTTACCGTGGAAAGGACTCTTACCGCAAAGGTTTCAATTTTGATTGATAGGTGCAAAAAGGAAATTGGACTGTCATCCTGTGACAAGAACGAAGAATTTAATGAGGAAGTTAGATAAGTAACCAAAAAGATTCAGATTCTCAAAAGAAGATATTAATAACTACTTACTGAGTGACGTCTTTGGGGAAAATTCTCAAACCGAGGCCTAGCTTTATTGACTGAGCGATAGCAAGGTCAATACTGCAAGGCCAAAGTTTGCAATTTTCCCGCAAAGACCAAACGTTCAAGGTAAATAAGTTGTCTATTATATGGCTTTTTGCTTTGTTTTTGCAGGTGCGTAATCAGCCCATGCGCATTACAGGAGAATAATGCAATGCCCTAGAATTAGTTAGGCAGAGCACATGTTACATCGGCTGCAAACACAAGCCATATAATAATAGTTATGATTTCGTATTAACAAGTATAATTATTATGCTTTCATAATCACCCATAATTTGTCCTACCGATCATCTCAAAATGTCATGTGCATATGTCACAATACAATATTTCATTTCTTATCTCTGTATGTAAGAGATTTAATTGTCAATTAACCCTGAACCCCCTCAAAAAAGAATTAGTAAATTTTGTCCGCCTTGACTTTTCACTTTGGAAAATTTTAGAAATAAACAGCACTACAGTAAGTTACTGCTGGTGAAACATTTTATGACATTTCAGTGGTCACCCTAGGATACGAGGATTTCTTCACCGTTGTTTTGACGTAAGAAGAAAAGAGGTCAATATTGTTTGTTATGATCAGTTTATTTACTGTATTTTTTATTTTATAATGCTGGGTTTCTCATTCATGGTTTATCATTTATAGTTATGAACTGCTCACTAACGACATACACAGTATCTTATGCTTCTTTTGTTTCACATAATTTATTAGTTGCTGTAAGTAAATGTTTAACTGAAGCAGGAACACACATGTAAGCTTCAGGGTCTTTGACTTGCCTGCTTTTTAAAGTTTTAATGGATCACGCTTGTTAATGGTACAAATTTATGGTAAAATATGTTTATAGTTGAAGAGATTCAGGCTATAATAATGGTGAAATGCATTTTTGTTGTTATGTGAAAAGTCATGCTTTTGGTTCAGTTTTTTGCACATCTCTCTCTCGGTTTTCCAACTGCTCAGCTAATCAAGGAGTTTAGAAAGGCAAAGAGTAGTTTATCAATGAGTCTACCATATTTTGGTTTGAGATTACTGGCTGGTAATGAAACCAATGGAAAGATGTTCAAAACAAATAATTAACAGCTTCATTTTTGCAATGTTAACTTGCATAACTGACTTGAGATCTACAAAATGTTTCACTGCTATTTTGGTGTTAAAGTATCCAATTCAGTCATGTAAGTTAACATCTTCTAAGTGACATCTTCTAAGTCAGAACGGCTTAACCATAACCATGTTAAAACCAGTAAACATATCAACTGAAAACAATGCTACGAACATCTTATCAAACTCAATACAAATTATTTAATTCTACTTCTTAGGATGTTTTCATTAAGTCCATATTTTTTACTGCTGGTTTTCACTAGGAGCGCATAGTACAGTAAGAAAGACACAATAAGATGTTAATAATCTGCAACTTTTTTTTTTCGAAAATTTCCTAAGCAAAACATGCGACTTTACCATACTTCAGCTTTGAGTGCTGCTTTACTTACGCTTAGGCTAATGCACTAGTGAAACCAGCCACAACACCTCTTGCCAGGGCTGTCATTAAGTTTTCAATCACCTGTAGCCTTGATCTTCACACCCATAACAAACTTGTCACTTTATGGGTGAATTGTACCAGCTACAGGCAAGTTCTTCCATACCATCAAGGGTCCATCAAGCATGCACAGCCATAACAGGTGCTATAGGTTACAGCCCTTATTGACAGCCCTGTCTTGCTGGCAAATAGATTGCTAGAATAACCTTAGCATAAAAGTCGACACACACTGTGACACAAGTGTCTACTTCCTTAACAGTGTACTTTGAGCATTTTATGGAGCCAGGTTCACAAAAGTTTTAATTAAAAACCTAAATAAATTATGATATTTTCACTCCCCACATTTGTACTCTTACATTTTGACTCTATGAATGACTTTGTCTAAAATTTGCCGTCTGATTTACTGTCTTCCTGAGTATCAAAAACTGTCTTGGGTCAAGCTGGGATCAGGCCTATACTTGTTCTCATGTATTCAGGTACATTAAGCTCACAACATTTGGTGCTACATCAACAGCATGCCCCTTTGCTCTCTCCTCCACAGATATTCAGACATTTGTTAGAGAAATCTGCTGTGCAAGGTGAGTGCAGGCACAAAGTCAAGTGGATCGATCAGGTGCTGTCACTCTTCATGTAACATTTCACGTGCACTCACAATGCTCAGCAGATTCTCCCCACTCCAAAATCACATTTGACCCTCTTTGGAGAAATATCTATAGCCCCCTCAGTGGTGAATTTTTTTTTAACTCATCAATTGCCTATCTGCTTGAAACAAGAAGTTGATTGTTATTAGGTATCAAAGCATTAAGTTTTTACAACAAGTGTCATAGCCAGCTTTTGTTCCCATTTGATACCATAATTTTTTTAAATCTGTAATGCAATAGAAAACAGTTAGTTTATGTCTGTTAGTTTGTGTGATGACAGTTAATGGCTGGTCTGGTATCATCTTCTTTCCAACTTCTTGAATTTGGCTTCTGTAAACAGAATATAAATTGGAATTGTTAATAATTATTAGCAGTTCCTGCATTACCTTCCTCCCCTAAAAGTTGCAAAAAAAAAAAAAAAAAATGCAAAAACGATTTTTGAATATTCCCTAAGTTTAACCTTTATAATAAATCTGCTACCAAAAAAGTAACATTCACCCGTGGAGTAACGCTGTATATGCACCTTGTGATTGTACAAAAAGAATGCAGCCTACATCTATCATGTCACATGCCTCAAAACTGTGTTATTATAAAAAGAATGTTGAACTACATGTAGTATGTGGTCAGAATGTAATTATGATACCAGGATTCAAGACAACTTGAGTGTGGAATATGACTCACCTAGTCTCTTGGAATATGCATCTAATCTGTATGCAGCTTGTTCAAGGCTTGCAACACTGTCCTCTACTTTATCAATCTGCTCCAAATATGGCTCCAGGCTTTTATCTGAAGGCAATGATTATAGAAAACAGTTGCACTTTTTTTTCTACTGACTGTCACAGTGACTGTTTATGACTCACTTAATAACATCAACAGCAATTTTTAGAGAGTTGATTAATTGTTTGTTTCTTTGGGATGATCCAGATCGAGCCCAATAATCCAAGATCTCTCCCAATCATGGTACATCAAAGCAACCAGTGGATCCAGTCGGCAAGGATTCGTCAGTTCCTTTGATGCACCATGATCCAAGAATCCTCTCTCTTAACCTTTTCATATTCTAAATTACCATACATTGATACAAATCCTTACATTTCTTGTCCAGCTCCTCCATGACTGTGATGAGAGTCTTTGCAGTGTCTGACATTTCACTATATTTTGTAACTGTCAACTTATTCAGCTTTTCAAGAAGAACATAGTCCTGTATTGAACCTGAAAATAACATCACAAGCTAGCAAGTGAATATATAATAATAAGCTCAAGTGACAACAGGATCAATGACAATGTTTTGTTGTCCCAGCTATAACGAACCCTGCCATTCCTCACACAATTACCAATACCACTTAAACTCAGCACATCACATAAGACTTATATTAAAAGTATTATCTTATTCTCAGAATTAGCTAAGAAACTGGATTCGAGCGAAAATTTGACCATTTGATAATTGTTCAAACTCTGTACCATTGGCAAAAGGAGGATTTAAACAACAAAGTCTATAACGTGGTTGCATCATAATTCATGCCCATCGAACACATAATCTACAACATTTCACGTGATTCTCACCAGCTAGTTCGCCGTTCAAGTACTCTGTTATCTTCTCGAACGCCTCCTTGCAACAATCTTTCAAAGACAGCACTTCGCCACCGGAAGCTTTGGGTTCATCTAATCCAGAAGGTTCTTCTAACACGGGCTCAGAAGAAACCTCTGCTGGATCTTTAACTACGGCTTTCCCTCCACTCATGGCTTCGTCTTCTTGTTCTAAACTCTGTGTATTTTGTTTTCTCGTCGCCGCCATATTGGATCTAACAGACTTCAGCCCAAATCCTACTCTAAAATAACTGCTCGTTCCCAGGCCCCCTGGGACTTTTGAAATAAGAAAAAGAAGAAAAGAAAAAGTAGGAAATAGAAATGGGAATCAGATTTGTCTCTTTAAGGGACGGTAACTGGGGTTTTATGCGGTATTGCATCTGTCATTTGTCCCCAGTAACAACAATCAGTAGTGTTATGAAAATTATGAATTTCCACCTCAGTAGATGTTGTGATCCTACGGGTAGTGTAAAATCATTAAAAACAAGTTACTGCTCAGTCATATTGAATTGGCATTTCTGTTGGTTTAATTATTCAACCATATCATCATTTCGTGGTAAGAGTCCTCAGCAACAGGGCAAGCCAAGAATGTGTGTTCAAGGGAATCTGGACCTTTACAAAAAAAAAACATTCATCATCCGGTTTAATTTTGTATCTTTTAAGTTCCTTTTTGGTTATTAGTATCCTATGAAGTAGTTTAAAAGAGAATAATATTATTGTCTTCATTTATTGTCTGCCAACATCTTTCAGATGTTCCAGTCCTTGTTGCACTTCAGTTATGCTTAGAGAGTGCTGGTTGTCACACAAGCTGGATAAAATATATTCTGAGAACTTGTGACTAAATGAAGCTATGGAAAGATCATCGAAACAAATTACTCAAACTATCAAACTTAACTGTATAAATTTGAAATGCATGTTGGCCAATCCAGTACCTAATAAGAATGTTTACATCAGAGTTCAACATTGAAACATTATATTTGGGTAATGGAAGGGAGACACAATGAGGATGCTGGTGCAGTGTTAACTTGTATACCTTTATTTTGAACATGAACACATGTATTACTCTAGTATTTTGTTTTCAATTTTCCAGTCTTCCATAAAAGACTTTGCTTGGGATAGTTTTTCCATTTTGTCAATAAAAGTGTCTTGAACTGTTCCTGGGATATATGTGGGTATTTTCTATCACAATATACCTAAAATATAATAATATATCGTAGAGCTTGAAGCTGTTAGACATTTTGTTTCTGTCAGGAAAACATGGAGTCATGAAGTGTTTCCACTCGAAACTGCTGGTCTTGCTCCTTAACCTGTGAAGAAAATTATATAAATGTAAAATATCACATATTATTTAAAGATACATCATGTTATGGCTATTTTTTAACTGATCAATGATTTATTATTTAAAAATTCTAACTCTCATAACAATACATATTTACTGACTGTAAGACTTTCATCAAACATCTAGATTCATTGAATTAAAAAAAAGAAAAACACATTTGTGGAACTGCATACAGAATGATGTCCTAATACCTTTAAATTTTTCATTTCTTCATATTCAGGGTCGTCTGTAGGCAACTCATGTCTGCACAGAGGACAACTGTTAGTCTAAAAGAAAAAGCACAAGATTCAATGATCACAGTCTCATAGTAATATCTTATTTATAATATATAGATTTAGCCAAGCCTATAAGTGGAGCTCCTGGGTCGGGTTGTTCAAACCCCAATTAAGCTAACCCAGGATAAGCGAGAATTTTGATTTGAGTTTTGTAACTTTACGGTGAGATTTACTGTTTACACGGTTTGGCCTTCTGTTCTGAGTTTCAATTATCTCAAACTGCACAAAACAAAAGCAGTGAAAAACATTTGTATACCTTCAGAACAACCCGGCCCTGATTAACAAGTTAACTTGACATGACCCCACGATCAAATTGAAAACCAGTGCTTGGTCAGTGGTCAACTCGTGAGCTCTAAACCTGAGTCTGTGATGTTCACGTCATACTAGTCAGCGGATACCTTGTTTTGACAGCTGTCAATTGACCATAACATGGGTGTTCAAGGCTGCATGTTTCAGTCGACCTATTAGCTGGAGTATTCTATATATAACATTGTGGGAAGTACCTCGCATTGGTACTCCTGCCCCGTTCGTACTTTCTCTTTTGGGAATTATTCTCTTTTCTTTTCTTCCTCAATATATTCCCAATAAAACTCATCACATTATCAAATTATTTTATCTGTTTAGAATTTCTTGAATTTTTTTCCTAGTCTTGAAATAGTACTTATGCTTATGGCTGGTATCAAAGAACTGTTGTATTTCTCCGATCACAGGAATTTGGTCACTGATGTGTAGAGACCTGTGATTATTACCTTTGATAACCAAGGTAGAATACAACTCTGATGGAACATATGGTCACATGGAAGCTGCTTGACATTTTCACCAATCTGACATCAAGAAACAAGCAAATATGCAGTCAGAAGATTGATAAATAAACCAAAACATGGAACTGTCTCCAAATAATATGGGAGCTAGTATAAATAACCACTGAGGGCTCAGAGGTCTGACTGTAACCATCCTTGTCTAAATGGTAATGCATTTAATACAATTCTAAATGGTTTAGGTGCATTGAAAATTGATATCAAATGGACTGAATGTGTGGATAGACACCTTTATAAATCTATTAACGAGTTGTTGCAATAAGTGGAGACTTAAACTAGAAAAGATAAGCTAGCTAGGCGCCCAGTAAATAAGAGTTACTCACCTTATATTCTGCTTGACAAATGGGACAGGAACAGCCTTTAACTAACAAACAACAAACAATTACAACCAAAATAATAACAGATATAATATACAAGATGACACAAGTCTACTTATAAGCCCCTGGGATGATGTAGTACCTGCATGTTTGTTCCAAGCTTCATAAGCATACATGTTACTTGCACTTGATTCATTAAGCAACTGACAGTGGATGTTGTTTTGTCAAAAATGCAGCTGCTTTTTTTCAAAAATCAAAGTCAATAATGAATGAAAAAGTAGTAAGAAACGGTGCATGCAAACTGTTACAAGCATGGAGCAGAATTGTTAGACATTGTGTAGTTGTGCGCATAACATACCAATGTGTTCAGCAGTTATGGGTACAGCTGGTAGAGATTCTACAACTTCTTTGGAAGCTGGTGGTGCTTGAATTTGATCAAATGCTGCTCTTTAAAAAAGAAATTAATAAATAATGCACAATAATAAGTAACTGACAATACAGTTATTGATAAATTTTATTTGACGAATACATACCTTGCAATGTCAAGCAGATCACTGGCAGACAGAAGCATCCTGAGAGATGAAACACAAGCCGTGTTATAGTGAAATAATTCATGATCAAGTTTCGGCTCTTTACCTTTCTATATAATTCAATTATTTTATTAGTCAAAATTAAGCTCAGTGAGATTACAGAATTTATCAACTCATCAAAAAACGTTCTGACTGTTTTCCCACTCTGTTAGAAACGTATCCTAAAACTTAGAGCCTATTAAATAATAAATTTACTACACCTTGCGAGCTCAAGGAAGAAATCAGGATTGCTTGTTCGGTCTGTGAGTTCGTGCTCATCAAAATAAGATGCCATTTTATCGAGCTATGACACAGCAGAATTCTGCACTTCTATTAAAATGATGAAGGAATTGAACCTTCGGAGAAAAGAAATCTCTGCAAACTTTCAGTTTAGTATGAAATTCGAACTGTTGATCGAAAAAGAACCAAGCTTATTCCTGGCACCAAAGGAATCAGCAAATACTCATTAGCTAGAAAATTCATACGGCTGCCATCTTGTTCAAGTCATGTTTGTTCTTCATGTAATTCTTCATGTAATTCTTCATGTATGATACCTTCTTGGATTCTTTTCTTGTTCTCGTTACCAGATTCCGTGGGCCGGGTGGCTACGGAACGAGCGAAATGTGAATACTATATAAAGTCATGTATAAAGGTAACAAAGGTTATCCGTTTATCTTAAACGACTCAATCAAGAGCGATTAAGATGTTCCCTCCTACTTGTGCGCCATTCTTTGAATTTTTAGACGTCGCACCTTTGTAAACCTCTGTAAAGAAGAAAAGTTATGTTATTTCACGGCGGCGCTCAATAAAAGCTTCCAGGTCCAATATTGTACCTATGAAATCTGGCATTTAATTGTTCCTTTTGTAATCCCAATTCGATATTGGCAAAGTGAGGAGGCAGACGAAAACGCGCCGGTGTGCATGCATTCGTTCAAGCGAGTAGCTAGCAGTCGATTCTGGAAAAATTCTTTCCATCGACCTCTCATGTCGATGTCCCGCTTTATGACTGTTCACGCCATGTCAACTGATCAGACTAAGTCTTGCTTGAAGGCGAAATCTCAGTATCATCTCTAGCCGCACTGTATACAATTGTCGAGTCATTTCCTGTTTCCTAGGACATTATTAGCTTGCGAGTCCAATTATTATATTCGCATTACCTGGGCCTTAATTTTATTGGGATTTCTTGATGACAAATTTGAAATTGATCTCTGAAGTGAGGCTAAAGACAGTCAAAGAAAGTTGCATTTAAAAATAATTTATATGTGAAACATCTTAGTTAAATTGCTTGTTTATTTTGGTGAGATCAGGGTTAAAATAAGTGAACTGTGCTAGTTATGGATTTTCCAACTATTGCGCGCGGGGTTAATTGACTAAAAATACCAGCAGGTGCTATTGGCTTTTTCGTTGTAAGTTTATTCTTAATATGCAAAAGGTTAATGGTTTTGAAGTAAAGTGAACAAACGTTATGAAATATTAATCGTCTTTCAATAGGAAAGAGATATTGGTTTTGGTTTTAAGCAGGCACGCAATGAAGACTTCAATACTTCGTTCGTTTTTGTCACTGTCACTACTTAACATTTCTGGTCACGTGATCTAACATATAATTTTCCTTGTTTATGGACTTACTACGTGTTTTGAAAAGAACCATGTCGCGTATATGATATCTGTATTATATTGAGTGGTGATTACGTACCAAACTATTGTTCTGTGTGAAACTTATCCCAAAAAAAAACTGATCAATTCTCTTCCTTTCGAAAAGCCGAGGAGAATACGTCGATTTTAGTTCTTTAGTTCTGGTGGTAGAGAAAATTGTATTTGTGATACCTAATTATGATTAAGGACACCGGCCACTGCACGACAGATGCCAACTCCCACTATATTTTATGATAAAAAGATATAACGCATGGGGTAAAAGAGAATTATTTGAAGATACAGCATGCCGTTATATTTAGCTCAGTTGAATATGAAGATTAAAGGATGTTCAATTTCGAGCTTATTCACTTTTTCGTTTTGTACCTGTTATGAACTTGCCCGACGTTTTCGCGAGTTCATTTACTAAATACACCAGCTTTACCAAGTGCTTTTAGCCTTAGTTGAAGATTAACATACAAAAGTTAATGATCCCAGAGAAAGGTAAGAGCCTAATGACGTCATGAAATATTTATATACCATTGGAGGCTAATGGACAAGATATATTCGGTTAATATCTGACAGGTATTGCCTCCGGGCACGCAATTAGGAAGAAAATTTACACATAATGGAATCTGTTTTCATTTTACTCTCCCAAACATTGAAAAAGGTTATTTACGTCAAGGTAAAAGACGCAATCTGTCATAGAGGAGAGAAAAAAAGAAAAACTCGAGGAACAAACGATAAAACTGTGATTATCATTTTTCTATTGACATTGTGGGTACAAACGTCGAACTGACTTTTTAACATGCACATTTGTTTTAAATATATATTCATTGCTATTATATTAAGTCTGCCAGCGTTACTGCTTTAGTCCACAGCTTTTCAGCTGCGCCTTTTCGTTAATCATCAGTGGATATCTAGGGAAATAATCGACCTATTTTAATGACCAAATTGCTGCTGAGTTTTTTTTTTTTTTTTTTTTTTTCGCGGTTTATTCCCTTTGACCAAGGGAAGATTAAAACGACTCTTCCAGCAGGTACCTTGGAAAAGCAGTCCATATGGATCAACCATCATTTACTTAACAGTCTTTCGCAGCTGATCCCGGTTATTTCGGTCGCTTGGTCAGCTGATTCAACACTTGTGATATCGCGTGATATCGCGGGACTTTCTGGCGTGATCATAAAAAGAAAACGCAACATTAGGACAGGATTAGGACTATGAATTAATCCTCGTCACTGACAAAATGCAAATTAAAGCGAAATACTTCATCGTAGTATTTCCGACAGTGAATAATTTCCTTTCCGCAAGGTTTCGGAAGCTTTTATTTGCCATCCGACAGAAAGATCTCATCTTTGTATGTAGTCATTCAATTAATCTCTACAGACATCAGTATTGTCTCCGGTGTACTTTCGTACCGAGTTCCCTCCTTGCTAGCGTAGCATTCCTTGCTAGGACGGGGAGGGTGGCTGTGTGCATATTGAAGGTAGTGTAGGGGAGGGGTAAGGAGTGGAGTGGATCATGACTTATTAGTGAGATTGATGAGGACTTATTTCAAGAAATATCGCATTGTCTGACGACCCGTACCAATGTGTTTCTAGGACTATCACATAATCAGGAACAATGACAATTTTGCTGGTATTTTTTTTATTTGAGATTTCGAAATATATAAACGGTTGAGTGAAAACTGTCGCCTGGCAGATGGAACAATTAGCTTAGTTTACTCTGCTTTTCCATCAGGCCTTATCGCTCTTATATTTGATTGATAGAACCAAGAAGCCATTTGCACTGAAACACGTTGTATAAATGCTGCTTCTCTCGGTCACTAAATGTTTGATCGACCTTTGTCACTTTGTTGGCTTCCAAACTTCTCAGCCAATCAAACTGCTGCACGTGTAATTTATTGCTATTCATTAAGCTTCCTGTGCTGAATGCGTCTCGCTTTGGCAGGTGAAACTGAAACCTTGACTAAAACCGCCACTCTAATCCGCAGTTATTAGTTTTCCACAGTTCGTTTCTACCTGTATTTTACAGCGATATATTACAGTGTTCATCAGAGTTAATTGGTGTGCCGCAAACGAGTCTCTTCTTTAAAACCACATAACAAAGTACAACGGAAGTGTTAGTAGTATCTGATAGCCATATTTCACGTGAATGTTAATGGAATATTACTCACTAATTTATACCGGAGCTTTCTCTTCTAATGGACGTGATAAGAAATTGAAATGGTGCTGTGTCTGTCTGTGATGTAAATTTGCTCTAGGTCTAGCTATGTTTTTCTGGCTTTGTTTCGAGATCTCCTTCACTGTCGATTATTTCAGGCCGGAGTCCGTGAGATACTTGTCTACAAAGCCGTCTTAAGACGCGATTAAAAATCAGTTGAACTCAAATCGATATTAACGAGTTCTTAACACTGCTTCACTCCATCAGTTTCGCGAAATTCGATTGTTTATACCTCAGAATCTTTCTGTTTTGTTTTCAGTGTTAATTTTAATAGGGGAAGGGCGTGGCTGACATTGACGCGCGAAGTGTTGATCCATTCGGTCACGTGCTACGACTTTCAGTTCTCTACGTTTATAAATACATACTAAATGAACTTTTAAGTTATCCTAAAGACGAGTAAGGTAGTTCATATGCCACGCAGAAATTATTTAAGCAATACAAGGACATTTTTATCTTTAGCTATCTATCAGTAGAAAAATGATGTAAAGACATAATTTACAGACTGTTTAGCATGATGTCCACATCTGTTTGCAGGATGTTCCGGATTGTTTAATATATATGGTTTGTAGAGCTCAGCGCGGCGACCTATTAGTGTTTCTCAGCCCGCATGTTTGCACCCATGTTTACAAACAGGCTGTCTTTGGCTAGAAACTTCCTCAAGACTGTAGTAATATAAGACTGAGAAAGAGTATGAAACTCAAAGACTGAACTTTGAGCTTTCAAGTGAACGTTAGTGTCAGAAGATAAGTGAATAAAAGCCCATCTCACTCGAGCCAGAGAATATATAATTGCATCGTTTCACAAACAGTAAACTAATTTAGTAACAATGTTCATAAAGATTAAAATTCATAGCTGAAAAAAAATGATTCCTCAGAATATAACCCCATCATATTTAGTTTTAAGACCGCGACTGAACGAGATGTCTCTGCGAAGTCGGACAATGCGTCAGTATTATTTCAAATAAGCCATGTTTGTTGCGAACCGATCGATCTACATTTCGCCCCCTAAGAAAACAATCATGTCAGTTTAGATAACGCTATTGGAAGACAGGCTGCGTCAGAAAGTGAACCTAGCTGAAGTATGTCTCGAACCCGAATCTAAGATCGACCACGGGTGCTTTATTTTTAGCACCTTTGGGTAGATCTTTCTCAGATTGTCCCACAGCAATTTGCTCTGTTAGCATCAGCCCCGGGGGCTCAGCGTCAGTGAACATTTCGGCGGTAGCCATTTATACGCCGGTGAGGTAGCGAGACAATCATTAAGGAGCATACTATCTTCACACGTTGAATACATCACAACGACCAGTTTGTAGCAGCTATTTGTACCAAGGCGACTCAAGGCCTGAAGAGGAATTAAAACACACGAGGTCCAGTAAATTAATAGAATTACCTGGTTTTACACCAGCTGAGGTTATTGTTCAAACTGTCATGACAGCCCGACTGTTAGTCGCCGAATTTTAACTACTTCTATCGAAATATCACACGCTCATTTGATAATGCGGGTCTGGGAGATTTGTATTCTTCGCTCGGTCAAAGTTGTCTCTTTTCTTAATTATTTCATCAATTCTGTGTAACTGAATGCAAGGTTCAGAGAAGGCAAGGCCAGAGCTAAAAAAGAATAACATAGTCCGCAGGCGTTTACTGATCAATGTCTCTCCCATCACAGATCAAGTTCCACTGAGCTGGAAAGCTAGGCAAGTTAGAATTTAATAAATACCTTAATTCTAAAAGACTGAAATTCACACTTGTGGCGTGGACAGTGATAACTGAGAAATATATTTAAGCATCGAAATTTTTAAGCTACTCTAAGATCAATAATTTCACTATATTGTAAGAAATTATGACATTAGCTTTTTACTCTTGGCTTTTTATTTTTTTCAACTTATCCCACGAATGGCGGCTTTGCAGAGTAAATACTTTTTTCCAGCTTAACTATTTTTTCTGTAAATTTAGAGGTTTTAATTCGTCGAAATCAGAACTGAGATCAGAGACCTGCTAAAAACATATTCTTGAATAGCATAAGGCAGTGTCTTTTCTGTTTAATCCTTCACCCACTGGCATTTGGAAAGACAAACTACGACAACTATATGAACCTCGGTCGGCCGCCGATGATGAAGCTATTTACTGTTGTAACATAAAATAAATGGCTTGCAAAACTACCTGAACTGTGAGATGGAGAATCATTTCCGAGGCAATAGCGAGGTTCCTTCAGTTTCTTCGCTGATTTTCATGAAAAACGCGCTTTGAGATAAGAAACAATGATGTGTCACAGTAAGAGAAACTGAAATAAAATGTCGGTCGATCGGCGCGCGCGGCCAGAAAGAAAAGTAATACACGTGCCGGAATAAGTTTTGCCTCCGGGCAAAACGATTTCTGTGGCCCAGGCGATAGATTTAATAGGCTAATGCTTTCCCAGATCGTTATGAAATCTTACAGACAATTGTTTATCGAGAGCACAGTCCGCCTCAGTCAGCCGCCGCTAGCAAGATTAGCTGGGTGAAATTTGAGTCCCCACGCACGGCTTACTTCATGGGAAATGCTATTAATGTCTTCTTTTACCCTTACATTAATTGTACAAGGGCCAGCATGGACATATGTGGTAAAGGAAGTCTAGATTATTCATTAAAGTGCGTAGGAAGTGCATGAGTTTAAGCCGGTAAAAAATGAAAGGCTTCTTGACAATTTACAAGATTGTGGAAGGTGCGTCAGAACTTTGAGAACACAGCAGCTATCGCACCTCTTGGCATAAATTACGATTCTGCTCTGATTATGCACGCTATGTCTGAATATAGCTGCGATGCCGACTGAATCTTTCAGGTAAGCCCGTATTGAGAAGATAACATTGATACCAGTAGATCGTAAATCGCCCAATTCTCTCAATTCAACATTATCCTAGCATCCGTAATGAAACTGAACTTCTTGCAATATTAAGAAGATTTTTACTAAGTAAATTACCACCATGAAAGAATTAAAAAACCCCCTCTTTTAATAACTTCAGAGTAGAGAGTGTTACAGGGTTATCAGTTTCTCCAAACGGGGCATTCTTCCCCGCTATAGAAAAACGCAGAGTCTGCTTCCGCTTTAAAAAGGTGTGCATCAGCTCACGAAACCAAACCCAGCCAAGCTTAGTAAATTGTTACAATTCTTCTAATATCTAAGGATATAAACTCCAAAATGCCCACCCTTCAAAGTACAAAGCCAGTGAAAATGTTGCTCCTTCACTGAATTTGTGTTGGCGATTGAAACTGTTGAGTTTTAGCGCTACGCAAAGACGGTGCGAAAGCTATTGTGAACGAGTTTGCTTTGCACTTTCTAATGAACACAATGATGCGTGATGTACATACGATCGCGTGCTTTCCACCGATGATGTAAACATGCCAAAATTAGTCAAAAGTGAAAACATCGAAATTGAATAAAATGAGCATATATATCGATCCAAGTGTCAACTTGAGAGTCAACAAGTGTCTGACGCAAAGCAGCCAATCACAGGCGGATATTTTCCTCCCCAGGTTTCTCCGAGCACACGTTCCAGTTATCTTGGCCAATCAGAGGAGTTCTTTTCAGCCGCACGTGATCACTTGCGGGTTTTCCCAGCATGCTCTTCATTGAAGCCGGAATTTGGAGCATTTGGCGCCTCGAGCTTTCAGTTTTGAAGAGAGTTGTTCGTGGTATGGCGGACATTTATAGTTGTAAGCGATGTTTATAAGTTAAAAATCAGCTTTGTAACGCTCCAGGGACCTTGCGCGATGGCAACCAACAAAGTTGTCAATGGTATCACGAGCCAGACGGCCGAGGCGAAGAAGAGAATGACAAAAGAGGACGATGAAGGGTAAAGTGACTTCTGAGTTTGTCAATATAACGCGCAAAATTCGCGAAATTATACGCGAAAATAATTTGTAATTTATTATGGGCACCACATAAAGGGCCAAGAACTTAACTGGTCTTAATTCTTGAGTTTGCCTGCTGAGTGCTAGTGTATGTTTAATCCTTTGTGAATATCTACGTGTGTTTATACGCTTCACGCAACTCTTTATTCGAACTTGTTTCGAATGCGTGGCGCGACCGTGTCTACCATCTCCTCACAACTTCCTTTCTTATTGTTTCTGTTTCACAGCAAGCTCTTCGTGGGCGGACTCAGCTATGAAACTACCAAAGGTAACTTGATGTTTTTTGGTTGAAATTTGATAAATTGTGAAAGTCTGTGCGAACCAGGTGTGTGTGAGTTGTTTACGACCTGCGGCTAACAATTCTCTTCTAATTCAGAAACTTTGACGGATTATTTTAAAACTTTTGGTGAAGTTATCGGCGTTGAAATAAAGATGGATGCCTTAACGGGTCGCTCAAGGTTTGTAGAATCATTTATACTTTGTGTATGCTGTTGTCGCGAGACTTCAACTGAATTAAATGGAGAAGTACTAGTTTTGTAATTTTTTAGCCCGACAATGTATTCTTTTGTAGTCGTCGCCCCACGTGCTCGGTGTCTCTCAGTTGACATATATAATGTATGGAGAAATCAGCTTTAGATTTCGCAGCTTCGTGTGCCAACACACGTTTTCTTTTGTTTTTCTGTTAACTTTCTTAACGCCTTGGAGAATGACTGCTAAGATTTTAGCCGACGTGTGAAAATAAAGCAATTGACCCGGATATAACAGGAGAAGTCGATTGATCTTGAGCGAGACGGGTTTCTTGTCTTGGTTTAAACAATTCAAGTGAAAAGAACAGTCTTATAAAAGGCGACTGGTGTCTTAATTCTCGTTATAAACAGCCCCCTGTAGAGAGCCATTTTTCGCGGTTATTTTCTAGTATAAACACATGCATGCATAGAAGCACGCCATTAGCGTGCGCGAAGATCGAAAGACGATCAAGAACTCTAGTTGGCGCCGCAGATCGCTGTTTTGACTGAATGAATATCCTACTTTTATATTTGACGGCCTAGGCTGTGATCGATATTTTGGGAAAGCGATCAAAAAATTTATATTCTAGTTTAAACAAGAGAAAATTCTATTTTGTCATGAACCTTTTAGTGCTCTTAAGTTCTTTACTTGTGCGTTTAGCGTGAGGCAGGTCCCTGAAATTGACACTAACTTATTCACATAATTTATTGTTTGTTTTGTTTCTTTTCAGGGGCTTCGCATTTGTACAGTTCAAGGATCCGTCAGAAGCAAACAAGGTAGGTGATGTCGTTGTACTTCTATCGTAATGCAAGGGCGAGCTTAAACCTTTTCATGTTAAAAATTTTGGACAAACAATGGCGCGGGCATAATAATGAGTGAAGTGTTGCGTTAAAGGCTCGTGTCCGTATCTCTAATGGCTTAAGCTCATTATTCAGGAATAAGTGAAAGCCGTACGCGTACAGGTTTACCTCCAGACATACGAGACCAACCCTTTTGCAGGTTATTTTCGAGAGTAAGGGTGCCTGAAATAAAGACACTATTATTAAGTACTCGCTGGCCAGTAATCTTGTGACAAGATATCACAACATATATTGGGTTTCTCTCAAGACAATGAATTGGTGATCTGTGTCACTGTTGGTTGCAGAACCGTGACAACTTGGCCAATCAGGGAATTTTACTTCATTCACTATATTGAGCCATGAATATCAGTAGCATTGATGGAGCAGAATTTACCGAGAATTTAATCTCTTCCTTTCATTATCGTGAACAATAATCTCAAGCAACCTGGCCTACCGAACATGATAGTGTCTGAAATTGAAGAAGAAAACAAATATTCAACATTTTCAATGTGCAAAGTGCTATAATTGGTTGCATGACAAGAACGAAAGCAAGCTAAACTGACTTATTAATAAATATGAGGTTATCTGACTGTGTTCTTGGAGTGCACTTAATAGGTCTTGTGACGTTGCTAGTGAACTTTCATTTTGCAAGCAAAGTTGCTGTCCGGCTATAAATTACTGGCAAAAACAGGTGATTTTTTGGGGGGCGGAAATTGCCACAGGGCATAACAAGAAGCAGAACTCGATGTCTATATAGCTGTCATGCCCAGATTAAATATAGAAAGTGTTTTGATATGATCACAAAAGAAGTGTTCTATCTTTACTGAAGACAATAAAATGTGAAGTTTCAAATAAAATGGAAAGTACAGGTCAACATTGCATGATGAGGAAGTTCAGGATATTAAAGTGCTCTGCTGAAATCCTGAATACCAAATGACCAAAATATTGTCACTTATAATATAAATAACCATGCTAACAGGTTACCCCAGAGGTAATTTTATTGTATTCAGAATGTTTGATAATATGTTCATCTATGTTTTTGTGTTAGCCCTTTATGTTAGGTCAGCTAAATTTTTCGTTCATATATTTGTTATATTGCAAGCACTATGTCCAATACTGATTGCACATAATTAGAACATTAAATGCAGAGTGCGTGAGAAGTTAAAAAGTTTAGGTTAATTGTCTTAGTTTGTCTCGGATTAAAATTAAAATAGCATTAATATCAAGCATTTAATGTGTAGTATGCCAGTAAAAGATAAAATTTTGTTTGGGTGTCATGTAAGTTCTTTTTGTATATGATCAGCCACTCTGAGCAAAGTTACTCACTCACAGGTCTGAACAGGTTTTTGTATTGAGTCAAGGAAGGGTGCTTTGAAAAGGTGATCTTTTTGTTTAGTTGTTACTGACAGTAAAGGGAAGTGGGTTCAACAATTCGAGAATAATGTGCTCATGACCATATTGCTTACAAACCAAAACAACTCAATTTTATTTACTGTTTCCCCACAACTCCTGACCAGTTCACAGGTTCAGTTCTATTTGAGGAAAAACAACATGAAAATTTAGCAAAATGTAAATTATGCTATGTTAACAAAATTATACTTAGAATGAAACATGTGTAGTATTTCAAAATTTGCAGTTAAGTCATTTGTTGTTAGCGGTGACGAGATGTTGTCAATCAAACTTTAGGCATGCACTGATATGCCGGACACAAAGTTAGTCAGCAGAAGTTTAGTCTTGCATTAAAGTGTCATGGTTTAATGGAGTCTTGCATGTAATGTTCAATATGTTGAGATGAGTAGGTTAGACTCACTACTCAAAGATATAGCTCAGCTTTTCTGACTAGGGTATTTAATTAACCTGGTTTATATTTAGAAGCATTCATAGTACATTGCTAGTTTTTTGACAAAGTTTTCAAGCAGGTAGCTTTATTGCAGTTATGGTAGGTGGCTGACTAGACCATTGTTCCCTAAAGACAGACAGACCCGCAGCCTAGCAGATTACAATGTAGCTGACTGGGATTGTCAATTTGGTGTTTCTCTTTTCTGTTGGCCTGCTCTTCTAAGACAACCCTAATAATTATGACCCTAATAAATTTAAATGTTCTTTTGGTTTTAGGTCTTACAACACTCGGGACCTCATTTACTAGATGGTAAAACTGTAAGTTGAATGCCAGTGATCATTTCAGATTTGTTATAGAGATATAAAGATTCATTATATTATTTATTGTAATTTTTCAACCAATTGTGCTTTAATAGTTTGTTCTGCCATGACAGTCACGGTGTGGATATCTCAGAGTTTACCACAGCTGTTAGTACAGTAAAATAACAACTGGGTCTGCCCTGGAGGAGATATTATCCACTTTTCATTCAGTTAATGAACATGCAGGGAAGCAATCTTCCATGAATCTATAGAATATAGAATTTGCTGCAATCTAGAACCATACACCATATGAAAACAAGTTACCATTAGATTATAAAGCAATTTGTTATAAAAAGAAGACAGCTAAAATTACCTGTATAGACTTGCATAGCGATAGGTGAAATTCTATCAGAAATTACTTGTATTCACAGCTAGTTTCAACACACGTTTTGGAGGAAAATACTTGCCTCTTCACAGTCAGTTATTGCACAAGATTTGTTAATGCTTAATGAAGTCATTGACAAATCATTTGCTTGTGTAGCTACACAGAAAAAATTCTGAATTAAATCATTGATGTTATAAGGTCGTAATGCCGCTTTTGATTCAGAACTGATTCTATGTATGCAATCAAGCATTAAGTCCCAATTTCATTTGAAGGTAAAACTTGCCATTTTTCAGGTTGATCCCAAGCCAGCAGCACCTATAAACAAGGTATGTTGGTATGAAATACATTAATATGTAAAGTGTTTATAGTGTCATAAAGCTACATTGCAAAAGTTTCTCTGTGTAGTATTAAAATGTGTTTGAAGACTTACAGTATTGTGCAAAACTAATGAGAGTGAAATGCGCGAATATCGTTCTTTGTCTCCGCAAAATTTTGAAGAAAATTTGCCCGGAAATTCGAGAGTCTTTTCACAATGTCTTGAGCATTAATTTTTTAAAACAAAGGATGAAAATTCATGGCATTTTCAAGACCAGACCGAAAATTCCTTATTAGAGGGATAATTCCACTTGCAGTGGGCGGAATATTGCAGTGCAGTGCGCTGACCAGTATCGAGCCATCAATGTATCATTCTCTCGTGAATGATCGCGGTCACGTTGACGCTTTACGCCTCTATAAAATTTGCTGATGTTAATGTGTTAATCCGTCTTTCATGGCGAAGAACGTAGAGAATTTGAATCCTTTGATCATTTTCAATGACACAAACTCGCTAACTTAAGCTTTGCCATGTCACTGTGTCAGCAAGGCAGGTACAAAAGTTGGACCGCTAGCCTGGGTAAACTTGGACGAAAGTGAAATTCTTAATAAGGTTTTTTGAAGGCCTACTTCACCTCAAAATTCATTCAAAGTGACATCAAATTCAGTGATTGATGGACAAGCAGACATGTTGTTTATCTAGTGCCAGGTCTCCATACGGCCCCACAACGTGCCCAGTCCCCTCAGCTGCTATCATGATGGCCATATTCTTGTCCGCCTGCCATGATGGATAGTATATTATTCGCGACAATCCCTCTTTATTTCACCCTCATAAGTAAGAGATGGAGACGCATGACCGCGCTTGAGCATGTTGGAAGTGCAAAGAAATGGGATTAGGCGAGGAAAAGTGCAGAGACATTCAGATGGCCAGTGCGAAAGGGAGAGACACAGCTGCCACGAACAAAAGGATTCTTACATGAACTGAGCCGAAATGAGATGCTCTTATTTAAGCTTATACCATACTCCCGCTGTAAGAGACTGGCCTGAATAGTTCGATAATAGTTTCGAACCTTCGACAGTAATATCGCAAGGTTGCGCAGAGCCTGGGCTCATTATGGCTGCACTGCGAGTACTACCGAGAGTAGCATTTCTTGTTCAATGAAAACAGGTTGGCAAACAGACCATTTAAGCTTGTGAGCTTTGAGACTGTAACAAACAAAGTGATATCAGCTTTCTCTGGACATAAGCAAGGTAAGTTTGCGAGAAAAGGCTTTGAGATATTACTATCACTCACGATGATATTAAGGTTTTTATTGTGCACATTCTTGTTTTGCTCTGGCTTAATTCATCTTACTACTGGGAATCGATGGGAAACTTAACGAACAGAGCAAATTTTTGTTAGAAAGTTCGAAGGAAAATTCAAGGAGAGCAAATTTCCGCTCGAAAAATTGGGCCAAATTATTGGTAGACACGAATTACTGCTCAAAAATTCGCGTCGACTAAAACAATGGGCAGCGGGAAAATTCGTTGAATTTTCTTCGAACTTTTGAGGTGAACAAAACTTCGCCATTTTTCGTCGAAAAGCTGAGAAATTCATGAATTTTGTCAAATTACGCTCTCATTACTTTTGCACAATACTGTAGGTATTTAATGCATTCCTTTACATAAGCGTTATTGGCTTCCATGGTCTTCCTTGCCTATAAAATACATTGATGCCATTGATGTGTTATTATATATATATTTATAAATGGCAAAAATAAAACAAGAAACAAGAAACTACTAGACTAACTTACTAGACTAATAAATATTTGTATACTTTAGATTTAACCTTATGGGTGAATTTACTTTTCAATTGACTTATTTTGTAGCTAAATCACTGATTGTGTTAAAATTGTGTGATGTGTTGCATGAGCTGAAATGCTGCTGATCCTTTGAACCTGACTTTTTTATATTAAAACATTTTTTTTTACAAAGACATGAATTATTCTTTGTTTTAATTTCAGCCACCTCATTTGAGAGTAAAGAAAATATTTGTGGGAGGTCTTAAACCAGAAATTACTGACCAGCAGATTAGAGATTATTTTTTTGATAAGTATGCACCGGTAAGGATTACTTGTAGGAAACTAAATGGGCAAATATCTGTTAAGGTGTGAATAATTACTGGCTTGAAATGAATTAGGAAGAGGGAGTGACGTGCAACCAGTTCACCATTTAGACTAGGTCACAGGTCAGGGTTTATATCTCATTCACGCCATATCACTAAGGGTCACATATATTCAACTTTCATGTGGCTTTTATTTATGTAGTCATATAACTAAAAAGTGACTGCATCTCCAGGTCACAGTGAGCCTTCAGTTTTGGGGTGCAGTGATCCTACAGAGAGATTTACTTACTCTGATCTGCCCATTTTTTGGGAGGTTGTTGCTTTAGAGATTTGTGCTTTATTTTAGAGAAGGAGCCACTTTTGTGGTGTATACTTTAAAAAACTCTGTCTCCATAGCAAAGTGTTTCTGTGAATAGCTTATTACATTTTTCTTGTACCTTGATTTCAGGTGAGAGACACAGAATATGTCACTGAACACTCAACGAACAAGAGAAGAGGTACTAAATGATTAGCACATTTCAGGCCAGCATTTCCTCTTAATTTTCACATAAAAAAAAAATATTTTTTTTTGTTCTTGCAAGGTAAAGTTTTTTTCTTTTTTCTTTTAGGCTTCTGTTTTGTTTCCTTTGATTCTGAGGATACTGTTGACAAGATTTGTGAGCAACAATTCCATCATATTGATGGTAATAAGGTAAGTGGTGTTGTTATTCACCTTCATCTACGTCTTTTATGGCTGGTGTCACACAGCCTTGAGTGTTGTGATGAATGAGTACCAAATCAACTTAAAGCTAGGACATAGTTTGCTGTACTGCTCTGAATAAATGGAAATGTTTGATCTCCCTGACTCCAAATATTGAAAGTTAACTTCAGTGCCTTGGTATATTCATACAAATAAGAACTGCTGCTACTGAAACTCGGGCTCTACTTCTAGGCTTGTGTTCCTTAGACTGTCTTTAAGAGATGTTTGGCTTCGAAAACTTTGGTGAACTGTTGTTCATGTTTTTTCAGGTTGAAGTTAAAAGAGCTCTTCCTAAGGAGGTCCAACAACAGCAAGCTGCTCTGCGAGCTGCAGTGGCTGGAAGAGGAATGATCCCTGCAACTATTGGTGAGCCTGGAACAATGCTCTCACACGTTTCCTTTAAATTACTTCCCACAAGTACACTGTAATTCCTACTAATTTCATCACCTGCAGCTCTTTAGATTAGAGGAAATGAAATATGGAACTAGAGGACTAACTACGCCTACAACACTTCAAAGGAATCTTGAAAGAATCAAGTTTGTCATGTAATAAATAAAATTAAATCCCAGCGTCATGGTCACTTTGCTTTGAGTTTCCGCCATTTGTTGAGTTCTGTACACATAAATTTTATACAATTTAGCCCTTCCTAATTTTGTGCTTGCTCTGCAGTTTTAGGGGTGTTTGGTTGTTCTTAAAATTGCTCAGTCATCATGGTTTCTGTGCTAATTAAAACTGAATTGTTCAGCAGCAGCCACAGCGTTTGGAGTTGTACCTGGAAGAGGAAGAGCTGCCACTGGTTTAAGCAGAGGTATTAAAATAGTTTTCTACCTCTGTGTGGGGGCCTTGAACAGTAAATTAAATTTCAGATCATGGTGGTTGAAGGATATTTTTGTTTCATCTCCTTGTACCATACCTGGATTTGCTGTAGACTGTGTAGATTAAATTGCCCGTTCTGTGTGCCTGACTCAGAGAGGTATCCAGATGAACATGATGGGTAGCAACAAACTTGAATAGGGTAACCTGGCTAAGTACTGTCTATCAGTAGAGAGGCATACCAATGATGACAAGATATTAACTGAAAACTGTCTTTACATGTTTCTAGAACTGAAGTTTATCTCTTTAGTGACATGAATACCAATTTTGATTTTTCAGGTCCCTTTCGCACCAGTACAGGTGCAGGGGTTGGTGGGCTCAATCTCACGGCGGCGGCAGCTGCAGCAGCCTACAACCCAACGTATGCGGCAGCACTGTATGGTGCAGCATTTGGCACAGCTGGAGCCTATGACCCGGCTGTCTACCCAGCTTCTTATGCTGCTGGTCTCCAAGTCCATCCAAGCTACTCCCCAGCAACATTTGGTGCCACAGCTTCAGGGTACCCTGGTGGGGGATATGATTACCCTTATGGAGCAGCAAGAGATATCCGATATCCAGGTATGCAGGCAGTTCAGAGTAAGGAGGTTTTGAATGCACAATGATGGCAAAAGAATGTGGCAGTTCCTTTATTATAATATTATGTTTGAATTTACTGGGAAATTTGAAAGAGGGATCACAAGACAAGTGGCACAGAACTATTGATTTGACTATTTTGACACTCCAGTGAAGGAGTTGATTTAGCAAGAATGTGGTTTAAAATAGCGTTTTAAGCAAAGTGTCAGCAACTGTACCATCACTGCTTTCAACTCTACACATATTTATACTAAAAGAAAAACAAAAAAGAAAATTATATTTTTTTGAGGTTTAATTGTACGTCTCTGGGATTTTTGATCACTAAGGTTGATCAGCCTACTCTAGGCAAAAATAGTGCTGTCTATGACATTTTCATATTTAGCTTGGACCAACCCAAGTGTTTTCTGTTGATCATTTTAGACATATGTATCCCACATAGAAAATGCAGAGGTTCATTAAGAAAATGTTTTTGTGTTTTGTCTCCAACCTTTAAATTTCCCAGAGAAGTGCAACTGTATGATTGTATACAACAACAAACAGCACAAATGCTGTAAAATATATAGACGAATGATATTGAAAGATGTTAACATTTTCACACATAATGTTATATTTTCTAGAAAGTGAATAGGAGTTGTCCAGGACAATATTTAATGTATATTCATCAGTAACGTTTTGTGAATTGTTGTACATTGTATATGTAGGTGATATAGTCCGATGACAGAACATCAATTATATTTTTTAGCTTGCTAGATCGGTGATTTTGATGGAGTACTTTTTATTTGTCAGAGCTTTGCTTGGTAGATTACCAGTGATTCCTAGAGCAGTCTTCCAATAGCTTGTAAAAGTGCTTGTCAAGCATATACATGGCTGAGAGATCTGAAAGTTCTGTTGAGATCAGATTCTGTGGTCCATGGTTCATTTCCTTAAAGGGTGATAATGTTGACAAGGGCTTTCACAATATTCCTCTCTGACTTCACACTAATTATAAGTCAGAATTTGTTGCCTTTGGTTTGATTGTTTTAGGTTTTTTATTTTTACGGGATGCACTGAGTTGTTGGAAAACTGCTCTAGAAGACAACTCTTCAGTCTTGTTTTGCTGGAATTGAGATTGACTGATCAACACTGGATTCATATCGCATTCACAAGTTTTGGTTTTGTCTGGTTATTTCAAAATTTCTTCATTTACACGTTTGGAACAAAATTTTTGTTCTCTGTTAATTAAATTAAGCTTTGTTACTGTTATTTACAGTGACGAAAATATTTAGATGAACATAACATTCTTCCGTTATACATATTTTTTTTATTTTGAAATGCTCTTACAGAATTTGCATGATTGTCATGATCATCTTGGATGTGCTCTTTTAATAGGTTTATGAATTTTAATGAAACCACATTCCTATCTTCCATTATTTCATTACATTGACAGAGAAATAATACTGTTGCTAATGTAACAGCAAAACCAAAATTTGTTAAGTGCTACATGATGCAGTTACTGTAAGTTTGATTTGAAAATAGTCAAGATTTCAGGTACACCAGAACAGTATCAATAAGATCTATGCAGGTGTACAGACCAGATGTAATTACCAAACAGGAGAGGCAATCAGTGTTGGTTGTGGTTTAAGAAATGATGCTATCCATTCGTTGTGTACATAGTCTGAACATCAACACACTACCTCATTTTTTTACCTTCTCAGTCCTCACATTGATGAACGAATTTCTTCTTCTTACTGACACCAATACATTGCTTTTGGTGCCAATTGGGAGAACTTGATGAATCATCCAGGCATTACTTTATGCCTTGATGTCAATATACAAATTGGTTTCTGTACTTCATGAATTGTAGGCAGCATTTGATTACAAATTATTGGAAAACAATTTAAGCAGCAAGTTGATATGAAGATCAATGTTGACTGGGACTGGAAGGATAAGAGAAGAAGGGAGTGTTCATGTATAACAAGTCTTGCAAGGCAAGAGGACGTTCTGTGCTGAATTATGCACAGCTTTTGTATTTGTGTTTTTTGGAAAATGTTGATAAATTTCCTTCGTGTATATTTTCTTAGTTTTGTGTTGTGTTTGCAGATGTTTTGTGAAAAGTTTATTATTTTCTTGACAAATATTTAATTCTTAATGACTTGAAGGACACAAGATCTGCTGCAGATGAGAATTTATGTTTAAAACGTTTTAACCTTTCAAAAACCTTCAAAGTCACCATAATTTTTGTCATCATCCCATGTTTCAGTGTTTTTAGTTATGGTTATAGCAGTTCTATTTTGTCGTTTTTGCAGTCACTGTGGTTTGGATACTTAGTCTAGTGGATATAATGTTGTGATGATACATTGTTGTGTTTGATGGTGTTATATTAGTACCTTGAACAAATAGGCATAAATAACACTGCCCCTTTTATTCAGTATGCACACGTTTACATGTTCAATATTCACAATCATAAGACTCCTTTTCAAGGTGTTTAGTGCAATTCAAAAAAACCAGGAGCTCATCAAGCAATCAGCCCCTGGTGTGTCATAACCCTTAAGTATCATCAGTGCATTATTTTCACCTCTGTGCATTGTTATTAAATGAGCTAACTGAGACATGAAACTACAACAGTCCACCTAATACTGTAGTATGTTGGGTGTTGCAAGTAATTCATTGGTGGATAAGGACAAAGAAGAAAGATGTCACTGCATTAAAGAGATGCGCAAGTTATGGATCCACTGAAGCACAACTCTCTATGTCACAATCATGTTATTTCTGATACATTCCCAATTTATTCAGTATATTAAGTAAATTGAATGCACTGTAGTTATTTGACGTATTGTTATTATTAGTATTATTAAAATAAGGAAAATCCCTGCAAATTAGACCATTGAGTAAGCATCACTGATGCAAGGTTGAAACATTTTCTCCCTTCAGTGCCTATTCGTAAGTTAGATACAGTTTCAAAGTGAATGTAAACTGGCAGTTTTATGAGAATTCTTTACATTAGTTTATGTTACCTGTAACATCATATCACTAGCTTACTCTACTGTTTTTAACAATAAATGGGTATATGCACATGCATTTTACCTGAAGCAGTTCAGTAGCTGAAATTGATGTTTTTCAGTTTGAATCAATGCTGGTAGCATTTTAGCTGTGTTAAATGGTGTGAAAAACTTTAAACAGAACTATAAAGGCTTAACTTCTAATGGTTAACTATAAATTGTGAACCGAAACTATTGGCTTGCTTATTGAAACTTTTTCAACTCTGGAGCTCAGGGGTTTCATTAAGGGCCAGGCACCGGGCAAATTGACCGGCTGAGAGGATTTTTCCTTCCTGGTTTGACCATCTAGCAGGATATATATTTTTCTTTAAGAAGTTCAGTTCAAATAGTTTTTCCTGCCTGGGAAAACCAGTTGTCTTCCTACTGAAAATGTTAATGAAACCCTTTGGGAGCTTTTCTTTTGGAGTGTCTGAAATGAAATAATTTCCACTTCATTTGTGTTTTTTGTTAAGCTTTTCTGGGCATTGTTAGGTGCTTTTTCTTAGTGTTTGACTTAAAATTTATTCAGTAATGGGGCTAATTGACTTTGCAAGCTTGAAGCTTGCATTAACCTGTATACTTCTAGTGAATGATATGAGCTCTGTAGTGAAGGTAATTCAAGCCTTAAGAATAAGTTTAAGTGGTATTGTAGTAGGTAATGAAAGTCTAGTTTAAGACACACCAAGTAATTTCTTAAATAATGAGTGTTAAATGTTTCCTGGTTTAGATGTCATGTAGTGTGGGGAGTATGATATAATTTGTCAATAACCAGCTTTACCATTGTGATACTTTCCAAACCGGCATTAAGGCCCCAGTTTGTTGTATTGAAAGTGAATAAAACTGTGTTAGTGTTGCCAAATAATGCTTGGGCAGCGTTTTCTGCTAAATCGCTGACCCTTCATCACGTGACAGATGCAAGTGATCTGATTGGCTCCTTCCCGCAGCAGGGAAGTGGTGTCGTGGACACAGATGACAATGGTGGCACCTCCTTGTGCACTTTTCGATGATATTAAAAGAAGGGTGCCAGGTAAGGCGCGTCTGCTGTACCAAAGTGCAGCTCTTTCAAGCTCCACCTGCTGTTCTACAACCCACCCATTCAAGACCTCACTGTAAGCCCTGCCACGCCCACTATGCCACAGCTTGAGTTGAGATCACCACATGTCAAATCTAAATCAGTTGACAAAGCAACTTAATTTCTGTAACTAAAGCTTTTTAAATTCACGCTGGTAAATAAAATGTGCACTCTATTTAACTTAAACTATGGCCAGCCTAACAATGCTGTGTCCTTAATACAAGCCGTTTCTTTAGAGTAAAAAGTTGAGCAAATAATTTAGTGTTGGACAAACAGAGTTTGAAGAGATTGCGTGGCAGCTGTTCACTGTCAATAGACACCTCAGTAATGCACTCAGGGTTGTCAGGTTGGCTGTAGATGTGGGGCAAGATAACTGGATTTGAATTCATTACATGGTCAGGACTTGTGTTGTTTGTAGTTAGCCAGCTCTTTACGATGTAAAGTAATAAGCACTGTAAGTTAAAGGGAAATGATAATGTGTGTAAAGGTGTAAGAGACAGATCACTTGTAATCAATTAACACTGACATCTAGAAGTTAATAAGTAAAGTAAATTTAACCAATATTATTATACAACTCTGTAACGTAATGTAACTCGTCAACCATAATGTCTAGTGTAATGTTCTAAACAGGAGTGTTCCCAAATTGAAGGAATTCATAATCCCAGTCCCTGCTGTTTTACTGGTAGCCTTGAGCAGATCATCAGCAAGGAAATTCTGTATTCAATATTTCATACAAGTTTTAAATCAAATGACAGGGAGTCATCTGCATGTTTTACAATCCCTTTAAAATTAATTGGTGTAGACGTGTCCTAAGCGTTGTTGACTAAGATCGTGGAGGAAATTCTGAAGCAGTTTTATTTTACTTGTTCACCAAAGAAAAAATTGGGAAAATGTAACCGTGCTTTGGTCTGATGTTGAGGTTCACTTCTGTTTGTGATCACTTCTGTTTTTGTAAGGTTGCATGTGCTGGTGACAATTCTAAATCTTTATTTGTTATTCTTTCGTTGTTAAACGGCTAATATCTGTAGTGTTGCTTCCCAGTTTATATTTCTGCACAAGACAAGCTGTAACGCTATACCTTCTCAAATATCATGCATTTGAAAATTCTCTGAGTTGATCTAAGTTAGCAGTTTTGATTTTTAGACCAGTTGATTATCTAAGTTGGCAGCGTTATGAAAGTACATTAGTGGAGCTGTGTAAACTGTTTTCAGGTGTGGTCAAGTTTGTAAGCCTCTTTCCTGTTCTCCGTCGCGACACTCGTTGCGTGACATCCTAACAAAGCATTGCAAAGTAACCTTTGTCTATATCTGACTATTTTCTGTTCACATTGTGACGTAGTTCATTGTTTCTGTTTTGTACTTCAGATGGGAGACCAAGTGCTTTTGGACCAATATTGTCATACACCAGAACAGCCTTCCATCCTTACGCCCGCTAGCAAATTACACGTGGCGTGACAAGTGATCAGTCACGCAATCCATTCAATGGACTGGTGGATGTAACACAGGAATTATTTTATGGAATTGGAACAATTTTTTATTCATACAGTGTGAGGAAGCACGTTAACAGCAACACGCTCAGGAACCCGTCAAACGAGATGTGCGTGTTTGTTATCCACTTGTTCATATTCATTTAAAATCATTTGGACTCATCTACGCAAGGTTGCACTGTCTTGCAAGTGTTGCAATTAACAATATTTTATGGGCCGTAAAGCTCTGATGTATTGACATTTGCATGGTCACATTACTTCAACCCCAGGTTAAAAAAAATGTAAACAGTAGTTCTAGTTTTTCCCTAAAAGGGCCACAGAATTGTATTAGAAGAATCTTGTCTATATTTGTTCGTATCTTGTATAGTATTTATATTCATGTATATTGTTTGAGTTCTCTCCTTTTAAAAACAGCAGTTCACAGGACTGATTTAGTATTCTTTCATACAGTATTTTGAGTTAGCTGTCACGCAGTGCTTTTCCTCTCCTATGAAGGGTAGCGTGACGACTTGAGCAAATAAGAACTGAGAAGGAGAGGGGGCTGTTTAGGATCGATGGTCATTTGTGTACCGAGTCACCCGTCCCTTGTTAGTGGATAGAGTGATGTTCTATTGATTGAACACTGCTAAGAAAGCTGCTCTCATTTACTGCTGCTACAGGGGAGAACTCTGTTGTCATTTTGCAGAATAAAATTTCTTTGTTAGGTTGTAGTTTAGTGCACTTGAGTTCACCTGCTGTTCTTCAAGAACAATAAACTTGTGGAATTGCTTATGTTTCTGTTTGACATGTTGTGTTCCGTATGTCTGGGTACCGGGTTCTTCAACATAGACTTCCCTCCTGGTTGAAATATCTGGACTCCTTCACGATTTATTTTCAATTGTGAGAAACTCGCTCTATTGCGGCTGATCTATAAAGACTATAGAAGTCATAATCTTCGATTTTGTTATGAACAGTTCACAGAAAAAAAGTCGACTAAAGTCTTCAAAAATACAATTGTAAGTTGCAGCAGGCAGAAAACTAGAAAGTTCGATTGAGCCTTGAAACGCAACGTAAATCACTGTACTACTATTTACATGTAACCACATCAGGATTTGCATGGTCCTTAAGTTCGTCTCTGGTTACCAGTGTGACACACCTATGAAGTATCAAAGACAATTCAGGCGTGGTGCCTGTGTTGTTCTCGGGCACTAGAGGGTAGTTTGATAGTTGGATACGCAGTGCCTGAGCACAGCTCTGACCATTTTATGCCGTTATCCAGTTAGTACTAGAACTCGGCTACCAAGTATAAAGGCAGCCTACGCTTTTTATTTCTGTAGTATTAAAAGAGTTTTTAAAAACTGCTATTTAGACCCACTAGCTTACTGGAATCAGAAGGTTTCATTTTATTCCGATTCTTTTTACGACTCAGTCGCTTATGATCCAGTGAAAACTACATTGTTGGAGTCGGAAGCAGAAGGGAAAGAACCAGGCAATGATACACCTTGAATCGAGCATTGTGATTGGTTGGTTCTTCGGTTTCTGCATGCGACTCCGACCACCTAGTCTTAACTCGATCATAAGTGACGGAGTCATAAGCGGAATCGGTATCTTCTGCCACCGCCAGTGACTCAACCGGTTTGATTTTCACTGGATCCGATCGTATCGCTCTGCGCTTGATTGACGACTCCGACTCCGTTGCTAGTCCGTGGCTACCGGGACTAGTCTTTCATAGATTAACTCTTTCCTGATTCTCGTTACTTCGATCCGCCTCGAAACATCAGAAGACAGCAACACCAAAGTACTAGTTGATGATGATGATGATGACGATACATACATACATACTTTATTTGAAATAGGTTAAATTAGAGGCAGCCAAAGACTGATGTGGACCTATATTTAATCTACAAGTAATATGACGATGACGATGACGATGACGATGTCGATGACCATGACCATGACCATGACCATGACCATGACGATGATGCCTGATGGTACATTAACTGAGTGATGTGAAGTTTATATGAAATAATTCACTTCCATTAACTGAGTGTTAATACCTTCTAGCTTTGAATGACAATCGCATACTAATGTGGGGACAGAAATTAATACTAATGATTGAAAGAGAAAGAAATAGAACTGCGATAAGTACCAGACGTTATGTGAAATAGATATAAACAGATATAATATATAAAACGCATGATGTAAAAGTTGATAATAATTACGAATTACCATAGTAATTACGAATGTCGATAATTAGGAATTTCAAAGTTCATGGCCCTTGCAGCCAGCGTCTTACATTAAACTTATACCGCGCTTACGTACTATGTTCTTAGAATGGCCAGTGATTTTACCGTAAGTAGTTTGGCCCATAACATGGGAGCTAAATAACGTAACGAACCAGTACTCTCCTCAAGTTATATTGTATAGTATCTAGATATGGACCAATCTGACTTTATATCTTAAACTAACTATGGTTAATTCTCCTGTTAAATGTGGCTCTCGGCTTCTGCTATGTTCCTCAAGAACACCTTCATTCTGATGTTGAGTGCACGCTGTTTAGACTGAAAAGCAGAAGTCGAGTCGCCTTGTGCATGTTGCGTGTCCCCGAGTGACGAGTAACTGTCAGCAGTTTTGGGGTGTTCTTCTCCAAACAGTTTGAGTGTGATGTTAAGTGCACATTGTTTTGATCGAAGAGCTGACAAAAAGTCGCCCTGTTCATGTTGTGTCCACCCAAGTGAATGGTAACTGCGTGCTGTATATACGTGTTTCTCTCCAAAAAGTTTTTGTCTAATAACAAGTGAACGCTGTTGTGAATGAAAAGCAGACGTAAAGTCGCCTAGCGCATACTGAATGCCCCCGAGTGACCAGTAGCTATAAGCTGTGCTCGAGTGTTCTTCTCCAAACAGTTTCCGTCTGATGTAGAGAGCGCGTTTGAATGACTGAAGAGCTGACGGCAAGTCGCCCTGTAAATATTGTGTTTGTCCAAGAAGATTATAACTGTCTGCTGTGCTTAAATGTTCTTCCCCAAACAACTTGAGTCTGATGTCAAGTGCACGCTGGTACGATTGAAGTGCTAACCCTTCGTCGCCCTGTGAACTTTGAGCCCCTGCAAGTGAATGGTAACTGTCGGCTGTGCTTTTATGTTCTTCTCCAAACAGTTTGCGTCTGATGTCAAGTGCCCTCTGGTATGACTCAAGAGCTGATGTGAAGTCGTCTTGAGCAAATTGTGCGTTCCCGAGTGACACATAACTGTCGGCTGAACCGGTGTGTTCCTCTCCAAACAGTTTGATTCTGATGTGAAGTGCACGATGAAATGACTGAATAGCTGACGCGAAGTCGTGTTGTGCATATTGTGTGTTCCCGAGTAACAGATAACTGTCAGCTGTCCCTGTGTGTTCTTCTCCAAACAGTTTGATTCTGACGTGAAGAGCATGCTGGAATGACTGAAGAGCTGACGTGAAGTCGTCTTTTGCCAATTGAGCGTTCCCGAGTAACGCGTAACTGTCAGCTGTCCCTTTGTGTTCTTCTCCAAACAGTTTGATTCTGATGTGAAGCGTATGTCGGAATGACTGAATAGCTGACGTGAAGTCGTGTTGTTTAAATTGTGCGTTCCCGAGTGACACGTAACTGTCAGCTGCGCTTGAATGTTCTTCTTCAAACAGCTTGAGTCTGATGTCGAGTGCACGCTGGTATGACTGAAGAGCTGATGTGAAGTCGTGTTGTGCATATTGTGCGTTCCCTAGAAACACATAACTGTCAGCTGTTCCTGTGTCTTCTTCTCCAAAAAGTTTGATTCTGATGTGTAACGCACGTTTTACAGACTGCAGAGCTGACGAAAAGTCGTCTTGTGCACAATGCGTGTCCCCAAGTAACAGGTAACTGTCAGCTGTGCTTGAATGCTCCTCTCCAAAGAGTTTGAGTCTAATGTCAAGCAAACGCTGGTATGACTGAAGAGCTGACGTTATGTCGCCTTGTGCACGTTGCGTGAGCCCGAGTGAAAGGTAACTTTCAGCGGTGCTTGCGTGTTCTTCTCCAAACACTTTTAGCCTGATGTAAAGAGCACGCTTTGCAGACTTAAGAGCTGATACAAAGTCGCCATATGCGTGTTGAGCGCACCCGAGTGAATGGTAGCTTTCAGCTGTGCTTGAGTGTTCTTCTCCAAAAATTTTCAATCGTATTTCAAGTGCACTCTGATGTGACTGAATAGCTTCTGAAAAGTTTGCTTTCAGGTGATGAAAATTGCCAAGATCCCAGTAACTCTTTGCTAGTATTTCCTGATGCAGTGTATCATCTCTGGGGAGGTATTTCGTTCGCCTTTGCAATTCCTCTTGATCGCTGTTACACTGCTTGAGTGCCCTTAGATGATAATTGATACTTGCCTCAGACAGTTTGGCTGCGTCTTCAGTTTTTTTCAAAACGCAAAACATGTAGGCCACACTGCGTTGAAACTGCGACAAACCAAGTGAGCTGTGTTGGGCAGCAGCTTCGTTTTCTTTTACCATTTCCAGAGTAACATTGTGTACAAATTGTTTGGTCTCAAAATCAGGAAAACTGTTTGTAGCCAGGGTTAAAAGAACGATAACTTGTAGTTGAAGCGGGTGATTCTCGTTGCTTATTCGTGGTATGTTTTCTTGGTCGGTTGTCTTTCCAGTGCTTTCCATCTCGGGAATAATAAGAAGCTGCCTGTCTCCCGCTGCTTTGCATTCCTGTAGAGCTTTACCATAGAACAAGTTGAAGCTTGAAGAGTCCTTTTTGAAGCGGTAATAGATGGCAAGAATCTGACACACAGAAAGCCTAAGGACTGTCTGATTGGGGATGTCTTTCATTAGAGGAAGAGCCTCTTTTAACACTTTAACTCCTTGCTCAGTTTTGCCGGCTACAAGGTGACAGATACCAGAATAACAAAGAATTTTTCCTTCTTCTCCGTCAACGACACTGGCAGACAAAGCTTGAATTTCCTTCGCTTTAGATAGCAGCTGCATCGTTGCTCCCGCTTCTCCCAAAGCTATTTCAAAAAGTGCTCTGGAAACAAATAATTGCCTGTAGAATATACTGTTTGTCTTCAGATTGTTGGCTGCCTTAATCACTGAATCATAAAGCATGCTTGCTCCTCCAGAAATAAAAACGGAGTCAACAAACAGTTCTGCACCTAGCAGAACGTTGAAAGCAATGTCCGCTGTTCTAGAAAACGTGCAGCCTTCTGTAAGACTTTGAATTATACATTCCTTATTTTCATAAAACTCAACAAAAGCCGACATGGAATGTCCTGTAAGAAACTGCTCGTTTAGCTTCTCAAACATGGAAATGTAAAATTCATAGAAGCGGGCTCTGGAAGTGAGAACTGTTTCCTTCATTTCTTGTTCTCCCTTTTCTCTTGCAAATGATTGGAGAAGGCTGTGCATTTGAAATGATCCCGGTTTGGAACTTGAATCGATGAGGGACCTCCTTCGAAGACTTTGCAATTTCTTGGTGACAGAAACTCTTGTTAGATTTAAAACGACTGCAGCAACTTCTTGACTGAAATTCTCTGGAAGAACACTCAAAGACACAAGAGCTTCTTTTTCTTGAGTAGAGAGTCTCTGAAAAGATGAATCAAAGAGGAATTCTAGCCTCAGATTACTGGTATAATCTGGGTTGTCGTCCAAAATAGCGATAATATTACTTTCTTTATCTGCCATGAGTTCATCCAAAAATTGACTCGGTTGAGCATTATCTTCAGAAATGGAAGAACACAATAACTTAATGGCTAAAGGTACGTGCCCACAGATTTGGGTAATTCTGCTGCAGTCGGAAGAGGTCACATTTGGCGCCAGTAATCCGTGAACTAAGCTTTCAGAAGAGTGCTCGTCCAGTGGTCTTATTCTTACTGCCTGGAGGCCTTGGAAATGAATCTTCATAAATTCCAACGATTCCCTTGTGGTAAGGATGAATGTCACCCGTTCGTTCCGCCCGAGGATTTCTTCAAGAAGATTCACGACCTCCTCCGTAACGTTTGCCGCGCCACTCTTGAACAGATCGTCAGCATTATCAAGAATGAATACACAACGATCAACGATCCTGCTAAACAGTTCGCAAAGTTCGTCATCTAGCGAGAGAGGCTGAGATGATGGTTCGTTTGAAGAAGATTGCCGAAGAAAGCTAAGAAGCTTCGATGTCAGATCTGCTTTTGAACCAGACCCTCGTAATGAGAGGAAATAAATAGGTAATCCTTCAGACTGAAGATGATGTCCCACATTAATTGCAATCGACGTCTTCCCGAATCCAGGCGAACCCCAGATCGACACAATTCGGGTAGATTCGGACGTCGCATGACCAATGATCTCGTCACATTCGTTCTGACGGCCAGTGAAGTGTGGAACAGTTGTAGGAAGACATGATCTCGGTAAAACGACTTTAGTATCTATGAAAAAAAATCGATATTTGAAGAGTAATTTACAACTTAAATATAAAACAATAGCGAGAAACATTATTACAATAGTTACCTTATTTGAACAAACTGTCCTGCACTATGTACTAAAATTGTAATGAAGTTTTTATCGGAAGTAAAGATGTTCAAGTAAGGTGTAAAACCAAAAACGTCATTAAGACTGAGGGTCAGAAAGTACCTTAAAAATATTTTACAACTGAAGCCCGCTAGTTCGAACTCGCAGGGAAAACGAAACATATTTCGAAATAGCCCATAATAGATGACGGGACGGGAAATCCAAGCGAAATGATTTTAAGCTCGAAATAACGAAGAATTCGCAGCACCTGAGTTCGAATTAGCAGGGTCCACCTGTATTTATTTTTCCTCGTCAGCTTCTTAGGAATATTAATATAAAGACAGGGATTTACGAATGAGGACGGCAAGAGAGGATGAAGTGAGAGAGGAAATCCCCATACAGACCTTACTCTTAAGGAAATCCTTCAAAGGTTATTTTTAGACAGGGTACCCAACAAGAGAGGATAAAGTAAGAGAAGTAATCTCTTATAAAGACCTTTCGCTTAAGGTAATCCTTCAAAAGGTATTTTAGACATTGCACACAATTTTCCCGTGGATAATGTTACCACATGCATTACGTGCATGTGTTGGTGGAGAATGAAAATACGTTAAAGCTGGTTAGGCCATACAGCTGAGACAAAAAAGAAATACAGCTGAGAAAAATCCACCTGAGTAAAACCCGTGTCACAGAATTCACCATTTCTAACTCGCGAGAGATACCCTTGGGAATATATAGGGTATTTGATCCCCTACCCATCACCGTCTCCTTGCCCAGACGAATTCCTCTTAGGTTAGAACCAGATTCCCATGAACGCCCACGGCTGAGAATGCAACAACTTCCCCAAAATTTCTGCATACTGTTTGATATGGGTTTGCCTTTTTTTTTTTTACAACCTTAAAGGCTAATGTAATTACTATGACGTAAGACCAATAATTTCTTCTAAGTTGATATTTTATTCAATATACATAGTGTTACTTTATTTTGATTTTAATTTTCTCGGAGATACTAGCCTATTTTTGGCTACTGAAAATCTGAGAAAAAATAAAGTTTTATGTATGTGTATATGTATCTGAAGTTATTATAGAGTTACCTGATTTGTTGCTTTTGATTATGTCATCCACTTTTTCTTTCAGTTCCGCCAGGTCCTCAGTGATTCCTCTGCTTGCTCCAGTTGCTGCTTCAATGGTTTTCTCCGCAGTTATTCTAATTTCTTCCTTAACCTCATCTTTGTCAAATTGTAACTGTTTCGTCAGGTTGTCAAGTTCTTTCTCGGTCACTTTTCGATCCTCTAGTTGTTTCTGGTTTGACTGAATGATAACCGACGTGATGTGTTCCAGCTTGTCTTTCAACTCATCTTTGTCGCTCTTTAACTGGATCTTTAGGTCCTGAATCTCTTCCTTTCTTTCTGTGTCTGTTCGTTTCCGATCGTTCTGTCTTTCCTGCTTTGACTGAACAATATCTGACTGTATATCCAGTAGATGATCTGTCACCTCGTCTTGGAGGAATTTGTTTACTGCCTGCAACTCTATTCTGGTGTCTTCCTCTAACTGACGAACCTTTCTTGTGGGGAAGTCCGACTCAGTCAAACCTCCTACAGCATCAATGGAGTTTGTGTTCACTCCCAGAGCTTTAAACGCATCTTTAGCAAGTTGCACGTACTGGTCAAATGTGACCTTGATTATCTCAGAACCGTGTGAGTGACAAATCGAATTTCTAAGAAGACGAAGTTGATCAATCGCCAGTGCATAAGTTTCAGCCTCATTTCCACCCGGGCTTTTCACCGACGGATGAAAACTGCCATGAGGTAATCTTCTGGGCTTCACATACAAGTCACTAAGTGTCCTGTGATGTCCTCTGCTGTCTGGTAGCGCGAAGGAGCGTGCGTAGATTGTCGCCTGGAACAAAGCGGTACCGTCCCATTCGTTATACGAGAGGTGTGCGGGAATTCTGGTGGTTCCACCTTCTGTGCGGAGAAACATGTTCCGCACAGTGATGGAGTCATCCCAGAGTTGGTAACCAGGGAGATATCCAAAGGTGTTGTCCCACATGGATTTGAATGTCTGACGTAAGGCTTTAGGAAAGTCATTCAGGACGATGGAAGCAAACTTGAAATAGTTCAACTGCTCATCCCGATAAGGCGCTAAAGTCATTTTTCATCAGCAGCTGTTAAGACTGGTTAGGGGGGTTATCGGAGGCAATATCTTTAATAACACTTTTGGTAAGCTACCTGTAAAAATAATTTGTAAGGAGACACTATTCATGAAAGAAGAATAGTCGTCTGGTCTCTGCCAAAACCAAACGTAAAGTCAAAGGAAGAAAGACATCTGTAGCACTGGCTACCAATATGACTGATACACTAAAAACAATATTTCCAATCAATCAGTCAAGTGTTTTCGCCAAGAGCCACCCTGTGGCCCAATATCACAATATCATGACGTGATAACTTAACATGATGGGAACACGTTCGGCGGTTTAAATAACACGCAACGTCATAACCTTAAGTACAACTTATTGAGTAGTCAGCATCTTGTCTTAATACACAACCCTTGCAAGCCAGTTAAAAACCCTCCATCAAATGCCAGTATAGCCCAAGTTATTACAAATCACTGAACATTTTGAAATTCGCAGTATGTACTATTAAAGACCTTTAATGGTTTTTAAATCTGCTTCAGTAAGCAGGAACACTTACCACTCACTCCGGCGCCATATTGAAACAGTGACGTTTACGGAGCCGTCTTTTAAAATCTTTTGTCCAACAGTGGTTCTTACCGGATTCCTGCTGAATTGTAACTTGCTCTTTGTCCGACGTCTGGAGTGTAACTGGATTGAATACAAAGAGCTACTGTCGAGCTAATAATAAATAAACACTGAATAAATAAATGATTACGTTTAGAGACGAGGTTGGGTGCTCTTCGATTACATTAAATCTTGCATTTGGAATCAAAAAAGAAAATCTATGCACATACAAAATTACTATACCTTGGTTAATAACACAAAACTGTTTTGCAAGGTTTTATGTCGTCAATATGATCGGCAATAAACAGACTGAGTAAATCGCTTGTGTCGCAACGGAAAATATGCTGAGTCAACCTGCACTTAGTATGGGGGCTTCCCTAATTTAAGACCTGGAGTTGAAAATGTTACTGTTCTAACCGCTCGTACAATATAAGAATACAGTCGAACCTGTATGTAACGGCCCTGTATTAAGCGGTCACCCTTTAGTAAGCGGCCAGTTTTCAAAGTCCCGATTTCCGCTCATGCAAACGCTGTATTAAGCGGCCACGGCCACCCTACACAGTCCTATGTTTATCTTTCTTTGTAATTTTTACTTGTATTAGGCGGCCACCCTGGACGTAACAGCTATGAAATTGAATGTAGCAACTATAAACTGACGAAATGAGATACTTTGTTGTGAACTGTAAGTCATAGAAATAAAGTACTGCATACCGTAGAAGAGAAGAACACGATTTATTGTACAGTACTTTTACACAATGTTACGTATATTACACCGTTAAGTTACAAGTTGACACTGAACCTTGTTCAAAGCATTGATAGCTTGAAAGAGTGTCGATTGTCCTATTGTTTCCTTGCATGAAGTGTTTTAGTAGATACCCCATTTAAATTGACTTTAGACCACGCCCAGTGCGTAGCGGCCAGTTCCTCAAGTCCCGAGGTTGGCCGTTATATACAGGTTCGACTGTACACTGATTACTAGCAGCAGTCACTGTGCAAAAAGCCAAATATTTGGGTCCGCATACGGTATATATATCTTATTAGATGTTTTGGTGTGTAGTATCGCTGTATATTTTTACGACTGTGCAGTCTTTTGACGAGCCCNCTTGTGCACAATGCGTGTCCCCAAGTAACAGGTAACTGTCAGCTGTGCTTGAATGCTCCTCTCCAAAGAGTTTGAGTCTAATGTCAAGCAAACGCTGGTATGACTGAAGAGCTGACGTTATGTCGCCTTGTGCACGTTGCGTGAGCCCGAGTGAAAGGTAACTTTCAGCGGTGCTTGCGTGTTCTTCTCCAAACACTTTTAGCCTGATGTAAAGAGCACGCTTTGCAGACTTAAGAGCTGATACAAAGTCGCCATATGCGTGTTGAGCGCACCCGAGTGAATGGTAGCTTTCAGCTGTGCTTGAGTGTTCTTCTCCAAAAATTTTCAATCGTATTTCAAGTGCACTCTGATGTGACTGAATAGCTTCTGAAAAGTTTGCTTTCAGGTGATGAAAATTGCCAAGATCCCAGTAACTCTTTGCTAGTATTTCCTGATGCAGTGTATCATCTCTGGGGAGGTATTTCGTTCGCCTTTGCAATTCCTCTTGATCGCTGTTACACTGCTTGAGTGCCCTTAGATGATAATTGATACTTGCCTCAGACAGTTTGGCTGCGTCTTCAGTTTTTTTCAAAACGCAAAACATGTAGGCCACACTGCGTTGAAACTGCGACAAACCAAGTGAGCTGTGTTGGGCAGCAGCTTCGTTTTCTTTTACCATTTCCAGAGTAACATTGTGTACAAATTGTTTGGTCTCAAAATCAGGAAAACTGTTTGTAGCCAGGGTTAAAAGAACGATAACTTGTAGTTGAAGCGGGTGATTCTCGTTGCTTATTCGTGGTATGTTTTCTTGGTCGGTTGTCTTTCCAGTGCTTTCCATCTCGGGAATAATAAGAAGCTGCCTGTCTCCCGCTGCTTTGCATTCCTGTAGAGCTTTACCATAGAACAAGTTGAAGCTTGAAGAGTCCTTTTTGAAGCGGTAATAGATGGCAAGAATCTGACACACAGAAAGCCTAAGGACTGTCTGATTGGGGATGTCTTTCATTAGAGGAAGAGCCTCTTTTAACACTTTAACTCCTTGCTCAGTTTTGCCGGCTACAAGGTGACAGATACCAGAATAACAAAGAATTTTTCCTTCTTCTCCGTCAACGACACTGGCAGACAAAGCTTGAATTTCCTTCGCTTTAGATAGCAGCTGCATCGTTGCTCCCGCTTCTCCCAAAGCTATTTCAAAAAGTGCTCTGGAAACAAATAATTGCCTGTAGAATATACTGTTTGTCTTCAGATTGTTGGCTGCCTTAATCACTGAATCATAAAGCATGCTTGCTCCTCCAGAAATAAAAACGGAGTCAACAAACAGTTCTGCACCTAGCAGAACGTTGAAAGCAATGTCCGCTGTTCTAGAAAACGTGCAGCCTTCTGTAAGACTTTGAATTATACATTCCTTATTTTCATAAAACTCAACAAAAGCCGACATGGAATGTCCTGTAAGAAACTGCTCGTTTAGCTTCTCAAACATGGAAATGTAAAATTCATAGAAGCGGGCTCTGGAAGTGAGAACTGTTTCCTTCATTTCTTGTTCTCCCTTTTCTCTTGCAAATGATTGGAGAAGGCTGTGCATTTGAAATGATCCCGGTTTGGAACTTGAATCGATGAGGGACCTCCTTCGAAGACTTTGCAATTTCTTGGTGACAGAAACTCTTGTTAGATTTAAAACGACTGCAGCAACTTCTTGACTGAAATTCTCTGGAAGAACACTCAAAGACACAAGAGCTTCTTTTTCTTGAGTAGAGAGTCTCTGAAAAGATGAATCAAAGAGGAATTCTAGCCTCAGATTACTGGTATAATCTGGGTTGTCGTCCAAAATAGCGATAATATTACTTTCTTTATCTGCCATGAGTTCATCCAAAAATTGACTCGGTTGAGCATTATCTTCAGAAATGGAAGAACACAATAACTTAATGGCTAAAGGTACGTGCCCACAGATTTGGGTAATTCTGCTGCAGTCGGAAGAGGTCACATTTGGCGCCAGTAATCCGTGAACTAAGCTTTCAGAAGAGTGCTCGTCCAGTGGTCTTATTCTTACTGCCTGGAGGCCTTGGAAATGAATCTTCATAAATTCCAACGATTCCCTTGTGGTAAGGATGAATGTCACCCGTTCGTTCCGCCCGAGGATTTCTTCAAGAAGATTCACGACCTCCTCCGTAACGTTTGCCGCGCCACTCTTGAACAGATCGTCAGCATTATCAAGAATGAATACACAACGATCAACGATCCTGCTAAACAGTTCGCAAAGTTCGTCATCTAGCGAGAGAGGCTGAGATGATGGTTCGTTTGAAGAAGATTGCCGAAGAAAGCTAAGAAGCTTCGATGTCAGATCTGCTTTTGAACCAGACCCTCGTAATGAGAGGAAATAAATAGGTAATCCTTCAGACTGAAGATGATGTCCCACATTAATTGCAATCGACGTCTTCCCGAATCCAGGCGAACCCCAGATCGACACAATTCGGGTAGATTCGGACGTCGCATGACCAATGATCTCGTCACATTCGTTCTGACGGCCAGTGAAGTGTGGAACAGTTGTAGGAAGACATGATCTCGGTAAAACGACTTTAGTATCTATGAAAAAAAATCGATATTTGAAGAGTAATTTACAACTTAAATATAAAACAATAGCGAGAAACATTATTACAATAGTTACCTTATTTGAACAAACTGTCCTGCACTATGTACTAAAATTGTAATGAAGTTTTTATCGGAAGTAAAGATGTTCAAGTAAGGTGTAAAACCAAAAACGTCATTAAGACTGAGGGTCAGAAAGTACCTTAAAAATATTTTACAACTGAAGCCCGCTAGTTCGAACTCGCAGGGAAAACGAAACATATTTCGAAATAGCCCATAATAGATGACGGGACGGGAAATCCAAGCGAAATGATTTTAAGCTCGAAATAACGAAGAATTCGCAGCACCTGAGTTCGAATTAGCAGGGTCCACCTGTATTTATTTTTCCTCGTCAGCTTCTTAGGAATATTAATATAAAGACAGGGATTTACGAATGAGGACGGCAAGAGAGGATGAAGTGAGAGAGGAAATCCCCATACAGACCTTACTCTTAAGGAAATCCTTCAAAGGTTATTTTTAGACAGGGTACCCAACAAGAGAGGATAAAGTAAGAGAAGTAATCTCTTATAAAGACCTTTCGCTTAAGGTAATCCTTCAAAAGGTATTTTAGACATTGCACACAATTTTCCCGTGGATAATGTTACCACATGCATTACGTGCATGTGTTGGTGGAGAATGAAAATACGTTAAAGCTGGTTAGGCCATACAGCTGAGACAAAAAAGAAATACAGCTGAGAAAAATCCACCTGAGTAAAACCCGTGTCACAGAATTCACCATTTCTAACTCGCGAGAGATACCCTTGGGAATATATAGGGTATTTGATCCCCTACCCATCACCGTCTCCTTGCCCAGACGAATTCCTCTTAGGTTAGAACCAGATTCCCATGAACGCCCACGGCTGAGAATGCAACAACTTCCCCAAAATTTCTGCATACTGTTTGATATGGGTTTGCCTTTTTTTTTTTTACAACCTTAAAGGCTAATGTAATTACTATGACGTAAGACCAATAATTTCTTCTAAGTTGATATTTTATTCAATATACATAGTGTTACTTTATTTTGATTTTAATTTTCTCGGAGATACTAGCCTATTTTTGGCTACTGAAAATCTGAGAAAAAATAAAGTTTTATGTATGTGTATATGTATCTGAAGTTATTATAGAGTTACCTGATTTGTTGCTTTTGATTATGTCATCCACTTTTTCTTTCAGTTCCGCCAGGTCCTCAGTGATTCCTCTGCTTGCTCCAGTTGCTGCTTCAATGGTTTTCTCCGCAGTTATTCTAATTTCTTCCTTAACCTCATCTTTGTCAAATTGTAACTGTTTCGTCAGGTTGTCAAGTTCTTTCTCGGTCACTTTTCGATCCTCTAGTTGTTTCTGGTTTGACTGAATGATAACCGACGTGATGTGTTCCAGCTTGTCTTTCAACTCATCTTTGTCGCTCTTTAACTGGATCTTTAGGTCCTGAATCTCTTCCTTTCTTTCTGTGTCTGTTCGTTTCCGATCGTTCTGTCTTTCCTGCTTTGACTGAACAATATCTGACTGTATATCCAGTAGATGATCTGTCACCTCGTCTTGGAGGAATTTGTTTACTGCCTGCAACTCTATTCTGGTGTCTTCCTCTAACTGACGAACCTTTCTTGTGGGGAAGTCCGACTCAGTCAAACCTCCTACAGCATCAATGGAGTTTGTGTTCACTCCCAGAGCTTTAAACGCATCTTTAGCAAGTTGCACGTACTGGTCAAATGTGACCTTGATTATCTCAGAACCGTGTGAGTGACAAATCGAATTTCTAAGAAGACGAAGTTGATCAATCGCCAGTGCATAAGTTTCAGCCTCATTTCCACCCGGGCTTTTCACCGACGGATGAAAACTGCCATGAGGTAATCTTCTGGGCTTCACATACAAGTCACTAAGTGTCCTGTGATGTCCTCTGCTGTCTGGTAGCGCGAAGGAGCGTGCGTAGATTGTCGCCTGGAACAAAGCGGTACCGTCCCATTCGTTATACGAGAGGTGTGCGGGAATTCTGGTGGTTCCACCTTCTGTGCGGAGAAACATGTTCCGCACAGTGATGGAGTCATCCCAGAGTTGGTAACCAGGGAGATATCCAAAGGTGTTGTCCCACATGGATTTGAATGTCTGACGTAAGGCTTTAGGAAAGTCATTCAGGACGATGGAAGCAAACTTGAAATAGTTCAACTGCTCATCCCGATAAGGCGCTAAAGTCATTTTTCATCAGCAGCTGTTAAGACTGGTTAGGGGGGTTATCGGAGGCAATATCTTTAATAACACTTTTGGTAAGCTACCTGTAAAAATAATTTGTAAGGAGACACTATTCATGAAAGAAGAATAGTCGTCTGGTCTCTGCCAAAACCAAACGTAAAGTCAAAGGAAGAAAGACATCTGTAGCACTGGCTACCAATATGACTGATACACTAAAAACAATATTTCCAATCAATCAGTCAAGTGTTTTCGCCAAGAGCCACCCTGTGGCCCAATATCACAATATCATGACGTGATAACTTAACATGATGGGAACACGTTCGGCGGTTTAAATAACACGCAACGTCATAACCTTAAGTACAACTTATTGAGTAGTCAGCATCTTGTCTTAATACACAACCCTTGCAAGCCAGTTAAAAACCCTCCATCAAATGCCAGTATAGCCCAAGTTATTACAAATCACTGAACATTTTGAAATTCGCAGTATGTACTATTAAAGACCTTTAATGGTTTTTAAATCTGCTTCAGTAAGCAGGAACACTTACCACTCACTCCGGCGCCATATTGAAACAGTGACGTTTACGGAGCCGTCTTTTAAAATCTTTTGTCCAACAGTGGTTCTTACCGGATTCCTGCTGAATTGTAACTTGCTCTTTGTCCGACGTCTGGAGTGTAACTGGATTGAATACAAAGAGCTACTGTCGAGCTAATAATAAATAAACACTGAATAAATAAATGATTACGTTTAGAGACGAGGTTGGGTGCTCTTCGATTACATTAAATCTTGCATTTGGAATCAAAAAAGAAAATCTATGCACATACAAAATTACTATACCTTGGTTAATAACACAAAACTGTTTTGCAAGGTTTTATGTCGTCAATATGATCGGCAATAAACAGACTGAGTAAATCGCTTGTGTCGCAACGGAAAATATGCTGAGTCAACCTGCACTTAGTATGGGGGCTTCCCTAATTTAAGACCTGGAGTTGAAAATGTTACTGTTCTAACCGCTCGTACAATATAAGAATACAGTCGAACCTGTATGTAACGGCCCTGTATTAAGCGGTCACCCTTTAGTAAGCGGCCAGTTTTCAAAGTCCCGATTTCCGCTCATGCAAACGCTGTATTAAGCGGCCACGGCCACCCTACACAGTCCTATGTTTATCTTTCTTTGTAATTTTTACTTGTATTAGGCGGCCACCCTGGACGTAACAGCTATGAAATTGAATGTAGCAACTATAAACTGACGAAATGAGATACTTTGTTGTGAACTGTAAGTCATAGAAATAAAGTACTGCATACCGTAGAAGAGAAGAACACGATTTATTGTACAGTACTTTTACACAATGTTACGTATATTACACCGTTAAGTTACAAGTTGACACTGAACCTTGTTCAAAGCATTGATAGCTTGAAAGAGTGTCGATTGTCCTATTGTTTCCTTGCATGAAGTGTTTTAGTAGATACCCCATTTAAATTGACTTTAGACCACGCCCAGTGCGTAGCGGCCAGTTCCTCAAGTCCCGAGGTTGGCCGTTATATACAGGTTCGACTGTACACTGATTACTAGCAGCAGTCACTGTGCAAAAAGCCAAATATTTGGGTCCGCATACGGTATTTATATCTTATTAGATGTTTTGGTGTGTAGTATCGCTGTATATTTTTACGACTGTGCAGTCTTTTGACGAGCCCATAGGGGGAGTCAAAATACAAACAACGGGTAAAAATATACAGCGATACTACACACCAAAACATCTAATAAGAGATTTGTTATCCAACTGCTGTGGTCAATAAATTTATCAATGAAAGAGGGAGAGTGTGACAGTTTTGCGTGCGTGCGCCGACCTGTACGGCAAACAGGTTTTCTACTGTACAAATACACCAAACAGGTTTTCCACTGTACAATATCGCTGTATATTTGTACTGTTATTTGGACAGTATTCGCTGCAGTTTGATAATAAACTGAAGTATTTTAAGGTATTCAAGGACGCTTGACTCGTACGTCACCTTCGATCTTCTGGAAGCACAAATCGGTGCCTTCATCTACGGAGACACAAATTAACTACTGCCGCTGATCTCACCTACTGCATCTTCTCAAAACATCTCCAACGGAAAGAGTTTGGATAAAAAATCGAGTGTTGAGTCGCATCTTAGGCCCTGTCCACAATACGTTGGAGGAATTTGAAAACGAAACTTTATTTCTCAGGTTAGGCCTTCTGTCCACACTAATCCGTCACGAAAACGGGGCTTAACTTTTCGAAAACGCTCTCCAAACCGGAGGAATTTGAAAACCCGGCTTTGCGTTTTAGTGTGGAGGGAGAACATTTTAAAAACGAAGCTTTTTCTAAACGATGACGTTACAATAGTCATGTGATTTCCCTGATCTAGTTCTATTCAAACACAAATTAAATGCAATGTGATTGTTGCGTTTTCAAATTTCTCCGGCGAAGTGTGGAAGGAAAACATTTGATGCGTTTTTAGCCCGGGGGGGGGGG